TTTTGAAAAGAACAAGTGTGTTTTGTCGAGCCATGTCTTTTTGTTAAAGATATATACATATATACTCTTAATCAGCATGACTCAACCAATACGAGTTTATTTCATTTATACTCAACAACAACATTACGTTTTACATGAGCAAATTTTTTGGAACTTTAGTTGCGATTTCTGCAGAGTTATCCGTGTTCGTTTCATATATAGTGTATTATAAAAATATTACCGTACAATTAGCAGATACAATAATCAGGTTTTTATATATGGCCAATAACGACAGCAATAAAGTAGCACATTATGGCTTTGCAATTGATTGATGATATTATATTTTACACAATGTAGCAATCATACGGTTTTATAACTATTTGCCGGTGACAAATAATCAGGCAGATGAGTAGGCAGTGCGATGAGCAAACAAGCTCTTAGATATGCATTCGACCATTTCTTAAAGCGGCACGTACGCGCTCATATACGCGTAGATATACGACTATATATATACTTTATTTGGCCAAACGTGTTGATTGTCTCTGCATACGAGTATCTAAAAGATACGACTGCCGCCAACACAACAAACGACAAACAAACATTATTTTCTTTCTTTTCTTATCTTTTTCCCTTTGTACTACTCAGCTGGAAAATCCTTGAGACCTTTCGTCTTTTTGGCACGACCATGACATACGCACATGTGGCAAATAAAAAGTATAGGGTATGTCCAGACCCATAAGGTCACGTGTGCGGACCATGTGCTCTCTCTCGTCTCTCGATCATGGAACAACAGCTATGCATGCCTACAGACATTTGTTGCTTGTGTGCCCAAATGTAGATCATAATTTACGGTTTTAATTGACTTGCTCGTTATTTATTGTGGACTCTATATGCATACTATATTTTTATATTCTTGCCTTCGTTGTTGATGGCGTTGTTGTTGTGTTGTGTTGGCTTTTGGCACTTTCCAGCCAACATCGAGACTGCTATTTCCGGTAGCTGTGCTCTAAGCCCCCAACTCCCCCAACACCTCGCCCAATGCACGCAACTTTTTCTGCTGGCTAAAAATATAGCCCAAGACGACACTAAAATTCTTGAAAATGCGCTGGAAACGCTGGGCGTACATACATATGTATATATTTATATATAAATACACATACATATAGAGTCACATGTGTATATGTGCATTTGTAGATAAAAATCTATATGCATTGGAAAGCTTATACATACATACATACAAGTATATACTTGATATATGTATGTATGGATATGCTTTCCTGTTAACACGCCGGTTTGAAGCCTCATCAAAGTTTTATTGAACGGCTGCTGAATCATAAACTTCGAAAGTGTAGTAAGTGTCTAGAGTGGTGCTTTATATTTGAATAATATGCCGACGAAAAACAAACAAAAACAAGAGCGACGAACCAATCATTTAAAATATAAATGCAAATATACATACATACATACATACATACATACATAGTATACTTGTATGTACATATCGTATGAAGGCCAATGGGCAGAGTCAGAGGCGAACAAAATTAAGGCATACACGTAATTGAGACTTCCTCTTTAGGCAAGAAAACAGAAGAAAACGAGAAAACAAGAAAAGAATGAAAAACAGAGCCGTATTCAACTGCGGCAATGGAAGAAAATTGCGCCCAATACGTGTAAAAAGGCAATTGTAAGCTGATGGATGGATGGATGGATGGATGGATGGATAGATGGGTGGATGCATGGATGGATGGATATACAAGTATGCACATATTCACATATGGGTGACTAACACAATTACAAGAACAAGTGACAGAATGTGGCAATAAAAGCAGCAAATGCAACAAATCTCAGGCGACTCAGACAGGACAGGACCAATGGGGAGCGGAAACCGCATGGAGCAACCGAGGCGTGACAACCAAATAAAAGAAGGCGAATCTTGGCTTGTCTGTGATTGCAGCCAGCAATACGTATCTCTGTACGTGTGTGTGTGTGTGTGTATGTGTGTGTGTATGTACAGTTATGGCTACAGCAGCAGCTGCTCTGACGACGTGCCATTTACTCAGTCAGTCAGTCAGTCGGACATTGAACCCCGAATGGGGCCACCAACTGCAAGCCAGACGCTTTGACAGGTGTCGCCATAATGGCGGCAACACCCCCTCTCTTATCGGCCAAATAAGGCCACTGTCTAGCTATTAGAAATTACACGGAAATTGGTTATCAAAGGCCTGGCAACGATATCAGTTTTAGCCACAAACTTATCATCGAATCTAGAAAAGTTTCTTGAAACAGATAACTATACAAACACCATGGAATTCCAAATGGTAATGGTAATATAATCATGATTTACGACATATCGTATTTGTAAAATTAGTCACATTTACATATCTGAAGACAGGAATTTATTTTGCACCGATCTTTCCTATGGCAGCTAGCTGATAGTGAGGTACTTCAAAAACTTTTCTTTACTATTTTAACAAAATAGTACAAAAGAATATATGTGTTTTACTTGGAGTGATATTTGCAGCAATCGTTTTTGTGGCAGCTTTATAAAAGATTGGATAACACAAGACCACTTGTTTGCTTTGGTATTCATTGTTGTTAAGATTTAATGGATCCCGATGTTACTATGAGCGGACAAATGGACAAACGAATATACGAGTATATGTATATCGATTTACCTTATCATGTGCTCTCTCTCTCTCTCAAAACAAAAAAACATTGTTAAGTTAGTTTTAATTTGAAAAAAAAAATTGTTTATTCTCCATTTGCAAGCTCATATAACTTGCATATACAGTTCAATAGTTTAGAGATTTCATTTAAGCAGACATATGTACATATACGAATACTGATATGTGTGTACTATAGGTATATAGATAGACTCAACTATGACTATTTTAGCACTCCTTTTCGATGTTATATGCGTCACAAGAATTTCATATCTACGAGTATACTTTATACCATATCTCTGTTTATACCCTACACCGAAAGGGATAAAACGGGTATATTATGTTATGTATGTAACAGGGAGAAGGAAGCAGCCCAGACCCCATAAAGTATATACAGCATATTCTTAATTAGCATGACGAGAAAATCGATTTAGACAAGTCCGTCTGTTCGTCCGTCTGTCTGAATGGATTTCGGAGAGTGCTAAGCCCACATTGTCCAAACTTGGTAAATACACTCTCCTTATACTATATACTTTGAAAGCTACATAAACCAAACTTTGCACACGTGATTAATTTTGAAAAAATTCGTATATCATCCAAGTCGGGTGGTTCTAAGAAAATTTAGTGGTAAAACAATTTCACTCCTGTACTTCACAAACTTCTCTCTTTTTCTTCTTCTTCTTTTTGCTTCTGCTATGGACGTGAGTAACTCAGAAGTTTGGTTGGTTCAGGGTATTTCACTGTCGGGCTTGCTCAATTGTAGCGCTCTGTCTTATTAATCTTAATCTTTCACCATAATTACGATTTATTTATATCGCTTCAATTATGACACCAATAACAAGTTTAATTGTATCGTCCGAGGTGGAGCTACCATAATTTTTGATTGTCGTAATTTTGATTGATAGACGCGGTGAGCAATCAGAGTGGTGGGTGATTGAATAGACCAACCTATTGCCTGTTTCTAGACCATTAAATGTTTCACTATCGAGACTACCAGGAATTACATGATGGGATATATAGCACATGTGCTAGTTCAAAAGTACATACATATATGTAATACTTCTATGTGGCATATACGTAAGTGTATGTACGTACCAGTATGTATCATAGCTTGTCTATACGGCACAATGGAGGCATTGGGCGTTGATAGCTCAATGCTGGGTTAGAGTTGGGGTCGCATTCGCAATCCGACTACGGAACGCCAAAGTAGAACTATTTTCACTTAAATTTAACTTTAAAAAAAATTGCACGGAACTGCACGAGCGACGACGGCAACGACGGCGAGATGTTTAGTTGTAGTTGCTGTGCGCGCTGGAGCAATGAACGATGCGGTCAAGTTGCCATTGTTGTTGCTGTTGTTGTTGTTGTTAGTAATGCTATTGTCGTCGACGCCGTCGTCTTCGTCGCAGACACTGCGTTTAAAAATAATGCAAGAAATGCAAGTCAAGCGTCAACCGTCAAGCGACAAAGAAGTGAGCGACCACAAAAAAAAGTAATAATAATAATAATAAAAATAAAAGACGGCGACAACAGCAACATTTGCGAGTATGTTAGTACAATAATAACATGGAAGATATGATTGTACCAGAAAATATGACCGCTTATCGCATGTATAGAAATTTGTAATAGTTTTCTACGCTTACAGCAATTACTTATGTATTTGCCTCTGATTTTGTGTATACAAATACTAAATATTCAATGGATGCCAATAAATAAAATAAATGCAAATGAAATAAATTTGTTCACTCAAAATTTTTCGAATGAAAAAACCCGTGCATCGAGCTAAAATATTAAATTCAGTTTTGGCCACTCTCTAATGTGTTTCGAGTCAGATAGGACTACTGTATCTTCTATATGCATACATAAAAAAAATATCTTGTTCTAACTGACTGACTTATTATGCGGAAATCAATTTACACTCTTAACGTTAAAGCTACATAGGAAACTGAAATTTGAAAGCTCTGTAGGTAAAATTCCAACTCCAAAAGGGGAAAAATGTATTAAAAATGTGATTTTTTTAAATGTCTCGGCGGGTTTTCCTATACAAAAATTAAGACACGTAAGAGCAAGGAAGCTGAAATTTAAAACACTAAGAAAATTCGATCTCCAAGGTGGGGAAAACAGGTCCTAAGTTTGCATGCAAAATCAATATTTTGCTTCCGATTAACTTCAAAATTGGGTGTGTTTTAAATTCTAAAAACGAATACAAAACAATATATATTGTGATACTACATAGTTTGTTTTAATTTGTGCATATTTCGATTGTATACAAAACTAAGCTAAGCTAGTTCTTGTTCTTTTTTTTTATAATTGTTGACTAATATTAAATTTTGTCACATTTACTTGGATTGTTTGCAGCTAACGATAATTTGGGATAGCACCTACTTTGTGCCATCGAGTGTGACAAGTATAGAAGTGCGGCTCGCTGAGGACACAAATCTGGAATTGGGAAAGAATTTTTTCAACAAAAATATTGTCAATCGCTTAAAAGTGACGGGGATAGTCGGAAAAAATGCCCAATTGGAGATAAAACAAGGCGCATTTCTTGGTAATCAGGCCGGCTATCCGGACATCAGAATAGAGAATGTTAGCTGGGTTTTTGTGCGCTCCAAAGCATTCTCCAGTAAGTGTTCACCATGATATTTGTCCTTCATGTAACAGACAGCAATGATTTTCGTTTCGCAGGGACCGAGATTAAATTTCAAGTGGAGCACAGCCAGAATGTGCGTATTGAGAACAGCGCTTTCGATAAAATAAACATGACCGCCACCTTTAAGCACATCAACAACTTGGAAATATCTCCGAAGGCCTTCACTCCAGGCAAAGGACATGCACGGGTAAGAGTTCGAATTTAGAATTATGATACCTAAGAGAAACACATGTATTAATGCATACTCGTTTCAGCTCCGAATTGAAAATGCAAACATAGGGGATATTTATTTCGAAACATCATTGCAAGAAATGCGCTTTGTCAAGTGCAATATTGGGACAATCAAGCGGGAAGCTTTCAACGTTCTCTCCATCTCCATCTCTCAGTTGATATTGGAGCATTGCCATATAAATACGATCGAATCACGCGCCTTCACCGATAAACTTCACAGCGACCATGTGTCTATCGCAGACGGCACAATTGGTATAATAGACAGTGAGGCCATTATGAGCAGCGGCATCACCAATCTGACGTTCAAAAACAACACGTGAGTACCAGTTACCGAAGATATAGAAAAGCTTTCACGATTTCAATGTGGGATCAGGTTGTGTGAATGAAAATGTTTTGGAAAAGAGGCTGCGAAGAAGGATTTTAATTGATTAATAAACCAAGAAGTTTTTTTTTTCTTAACATCTTGAACAAATGCATTAATTAAGAATATTGCTACATATAATATATGTTGGGTGGATAATATATCCGAGTAATGTAGCATTAATGTGTGGAGGCAAGAAGTGCAAAACTGGATTATCGGGGCATTTCCAAATTAATATTTTAACACTAAATACGAATTCGTTTTTTTCACATTTCGTTTTCTTTGCAGTATCGACGTCATCAAATCCCAGGCAATCGTCGTGTACAGCATCTATGTAAATATTTATGGCAACCGTATCAGAGACCTCAACAGGAACTGGCTAGAGTTAAAGGAAAATCCCCAGAATTTAACCGAGGATCGCAGTCACAGCACCGACATGTCTTTGCCCTGCACCTTCACCCACAATCAACTGAAAAATCCTCACCCAGGGAGTCTCAACTTAACCAGATGCAGGGTGCATCACGTGATTGTGGAACGCGACTGCGATTGTAAAAACGAATGGCTGGCCAAGCTGAGCGACAAAGACTTTCGCTCCGAGGTATATTGCCGAAGTAATTCCCTGCAATCGTGCTTCAACGAAACTTGGATCCATACCCATCGGTATACTATCGAAGCGTGCGATACAAATAGTCAGACGCTGCGCTGTTCCGATAACAGTACCTGGACGAAGCACGAGGGGCAATATTATTCCCCGAAACAATGGCAGGAGAAGATAGAATACTCCGAATGGGCACGAATTTCCTTTTATGTGGGAATTCTCTTAATTCTAATTATTATTGCTGGTTTATTTATTTATATTTTGTGTAAGTGCTGCGCTAGAAAAAAAGGCATTCCAAACAACATCTGCCCAACATTCTCCGAGATCGATATACAATTGATAAATGAAGGATTACAAAATATGAGGCGGCAGCGCCAAATGACGAGTAATCTTGAAAGACAATTTAGGATGCTTTTGCGCGGCAATTTAACGACGATGGATTGTGAACAGCTAATAACAGATATATTAGCCCAGCGAATAGATCAGATGATCATTGCTGTGCTGTCAGATCATATGATGCACCATCATCCTGGAAATACCGCTACTGCTCCTATTGAGAGCTTTTCACCCAGCTCTGACAATAGCATGGTTGGTAATTACAATGATGGTGGGCTCTACTCTAGTACCGATGTGGGCCATAATACAAGTGAGCCCGTCGCCCAACAGGATCCCTTTGAAGAACACATCTATACAGAACCACTGTTGACTGATTACTCAGATCCCGCCGATCCTGCCAGCCAGGCCAACTATGTTTATACGGATCCGTACATTCCTAGACAAGGTAATTTGGTTTACCATTAATCGCATACTGATCGGTCAGTTACACACACACACACACACACACACACACACACACATACCTATTTATATCATAGGCTGTGAGCACATACAAATTTCCCATTTTGATGTACCTAATAAAACAAATTCTCAATAAGTATGTAGTAGTTGGTTGGCATGTTAAAGGAATGGCTCAACAATTTGAATGTGTATTTTTTTTCTTACTGAAGCCATTGCCAATATGTAGATATCAAATATGTAAGCTATAAGTGGGAACAGTTGTACTATATTTATGTTTTACTTTAAATGTGTTTTTGAATAATCTAATATTTTATTTTATTTTTTTATTTTGTTATCCTATGTGTTTCAAAAGAGAACAACTTAAGGCTCGTACATGATTATTGATGAAAAATCTTAGCTTAGAACTATATCTACTATAAGTATATTTGAATAATGGCGCACTTTAGATTATACAAAACAAACAAAAAAACACACACACACTCACACGCACACACATTCTGGAATGGCATTGATGAGAGGCCGATCTAAGATATACCCGTGCAACCAGAAAAAGAAAAGAAAACTCCACACACTTTTACACACTATTTTGTAGTTTACAGAGCAGACCAAATTTAAGGAGCATACATAAGCGAAAAAGGTATATAACTTAACTCTTCTATATATTGCAATACATACATACCTACATATACATTCGTATCTATATGTGCCAGATTTCTTGGTATTGAAGTATCTTATTTATTATTAGTTTGCTGTGGTGGGTCGTAGTGTTTCGTCCTAATATTGTGTTACTAATATATACTCGCACATACCTATAATCGATCATCAAATTAATAATACTACTAACTCGCTGAAAAAGATAACCTGAACAAGATCCGAGACTTGTTTTCTGTTTGTGCGAGAAAAATTGAAAATCTTCAAAATTAATTAAATCACAAACAGACAATGATCCAAAAGAAGGCACATGAGCCTCGTCATTAGGTTATTACGAGTATCTAAACAAATACTTGTAGTACTGCCTAGAAATAAGTTTTAAAATGTGCTTTGTATTGTATTTCAGATCCTCAAGACATGCCACCGGCATATGAGCCTAATTACGCCCAGCCGGTGCTTCAGCCGCGATCCGAGCCGCCATCCACAAGAGCTTTGCCACCCATTGTGTATCAGCTGCCCGATGTGCTCAATCGTTGCTATGCCATACCCAATAAACAAGTAGGGGGACGCACAGGCTTAGCGACAGGATCAACAGCATCAACATCAGCATCAGAACCAGCCCCAGCCCCAGCCCCAGCCCCACCCCCACCATCAGCAACAACAGCAACATACGCACAAAGGAGTGTGCGTGACTTGCGAGAAAATCTCGAGGCTACGCATAAATTCCATCCAGATCAAATGAGATCCGAGTGCAACCAGCTGCACACTCGCTATCCCTTACAAAGACTGCCCTACAATAATAATAGCAATAATAATAATAACAACAACAACAGCAGTAGTAGTAGTAGTAGTAGTAAAGCAAACATCCACAAGCGCAGAAATATTAGCAACAGCAATAGCTTCGCGTGCCTGGATGGGGCGGCTAGTCTGGCGGCCATGGAGCATATGGATATGCGGGATGCAGTGGCGAAAGCGAATGCTGATGCTACTGATGCGGCTAGTGCGACTGCTATTGGAAATGTAACTGCGTCCGACTCGGGCTCAGATCATTCGGGAGGTAGCGATGAGACTGTTAAAATCGATGATATAATTCCATATGTCGATGCCTAAAAGTATACAATGCATTTACGGCCAGCGTGATCTAGTATATTAAATTATACAATAAAACTCAGACAAGCCTACATACCATACACGTACACGTACACACTTGTATGTGTGTGTTTGTAGAAAAAGTCCATGTAAAAAATCTTGTACCATAAATACACCATGTACGCTTAAATGGCCTAGTTATACATACATACATACATACTATTATCGTTTGTAATCAAATATAGTTTAGAATAAACGCCTGAAAAGAGTTTGGCAAGCCTTTCAAATCAACTTAATGTCAATCTTTCCACTAAAAAGCAAATCGTACCAGCAAGGAATCTCCATTTCGTCGAAAATCCAAAAACAAGGTGTAGAGTGTTGCCAAAATCGGTAAGCGGGAGCTATAGCGACATTTTACAGGGCAGTAAGAAGAAGACTTTAAAAACCCTTAAAATAGAGTCATTCAAAAAAACATTTTCTTTTGTTTATGAAAATTTCATAAAAACCATAATGCTTGTATTTTGTAAAAACATATAAATTGTATCGGACTTCTCTAACATCAATGAAAGGGCGTTGAATAACTAAGTTTCGTTAGGGGAAGATATTACTAAAAAAAAAAAGGTGTTTCTAGCTTTAAAATTGGCTACAAGAGACGGAACTGCAACCAGTACATACTACCTATACAGACAGCAGAATAACAGCGCATACAATACTTACCTCTCTTCCAGTTTAGTATTATTCAGACTACAATTGGGACATCCCACCAATCCAAAAATATGCTTAAACTAGTTCCGAATAAAAAGTACGTGAACCACAGTTGAACAGCACAATAGTTTAACTATACTACTATACTATACTATTCGAACGGGTGTTGTCGTGTGCATACATATTTAAAATATGGTGACGTATTATAAAAAACGTTAAATCGTTTATCCAAAGAGTGATTTGATAAGACAAGTGTACATACAAAGTTTGGGGTCCCTAGCTATTATGGTTGCAAAGTTTTTGATGTTCATACGTACGAACAGACAGACATGTTGATCCTGTTGATCTGTAACTTTAACATGGTCTCTTTCCTATTGCACAAATTTAAATTTTTCAGAACTTGTGTATTGGAAATAATATTTAGCGGACTATGTCGTTATCTTGTTTTTAGATTAAAATAGCAGCAAGTATTGCAAGATAGCAGCTTAGATAGAGTTTTTATATTTAGTTCACCCAAAAATAATTGGAGAAATCATTTTAGAATTGTGGCGCGATCGCAGCGCCTAATGAACTTGCAACTGACTCATTTAGTTTGAAGTGCAAAGCTCATCACACAATTTTGTAAACAATACAGAAACCTCAACATACATACATGCAAACATACATACACACGTACGAGCATATTAATCACATGTCCAATTGCTGCCTCTGGGCCTTGTTTCACTTGGCACAGCTGTTTTAAAGCCAATTTCAATATGCAATTTTTACCATTGCCGCGACTCAGACACCGCTCCCGTTGGGGTCTCTACTCGTATATGGCTGTTTGTGGCGCGATCGTTAATAATTTTTTGTGAAATGTTGTATAACTTGATTTGCCAGCGCCGAGTGATGTAGCTGTGCTTGCTGCTATAGCTGAGCTGTTACATATGTAAATGGGTTCTAAAAGCCTTTTTGAGTTATACTTTTATATGGCCAGACAGTCACTGATTCGTGTCATGAAGCCTTAGTCATAAAATTAACAATAAACAAAAAATGAAATTGAAACGACCGTTACCGCATGGCGCTGCTTATGATCTACAAGTATGTATCTACATATGTTCTATGATGTGCAGCTATAAATACATATTATACAAATTTCACAGAATCAAAGAGCCGACAAACGATTCTTAATTGTATTGAAATATGCCAAGTACGAATAAAAACACCCGAGTAGGACATAAAAGAGAATGGATAACATTAGAATGTACTTATTATGTGAGCAGTTATGATATGATGATTAATACTTAGCATTCTAGCATCCATTCTGCCTTTTTTTAACTGGACCTCACCCCAACTATAGGCACACAAAAGGTAAGGAAGGAACGAAAGCAAGTGTATCCAAAGGCTTCAATTAATTCATATGTTTCTTTTCACTTTCTTTTAAATAATAGGCATACTTGGAATAAATCTAGAATAATACGAATAAGCGTATAACATCAATTAATGTAAAAGCTTGTTTTCGCAGATAAGAGTTGCCTCTTAAAGATACACCAAGAATTTTTGTTTTTGATTTAAAAGAAAAACGACGATATTAAAAGAAATATATATTGTTTTAATTTCTGAGGCGAGCTCCTAGCTTACTTATCTATAAAGTCATATTTGAACTTATAAATAGAGGATAACTTTGGCTGGAGCAATGCTATGGAAATGCTATGCTTCTCAGTTTTAAAGTTCGGGATGCACCTTAAATTTTAATAACATTCGAATAAATCGATACATATTAATAAATTCAAAAAGCATTTATGTATATTAACCATTGAGAGTGACATAAAAAACGTTTAAATACTGATTAAAATTTGTTTGTACAGCTCTAAAAATGACATACAAGTATGTAGTAGGATTTTTATTAGAAAGGAATCGCCATAGTTAACCCTATTTCCTAGAACAACAATAAAACACATTATTTGCAAGATATAGTACATATGTACTTTATATAGAATCTGATTAATTGATTAATTGATGCTGTGTTGCAACACTACACCAATTGGATTTTTCAGCCAGGGACCGCAAATAATGAATATTTTGAATTTTTTAAACGAAAAAATCATTCACTTATAGTAACTTTAAGAAAGCAAGGACTTTGACAATATCCTTTTTTTTAGAATTCTCTATGCATTGTCACCATGATAAAAAAAAAAATGAACACATAATCACTATTTTATGAGTTTTATTGTTTCGATCAAAAATAATGATCATTAGTTAAGTTGTACAATATACCTCAAAAAATAAATATTGAGAGCGAATGAATAAAATTAAAAAATAATCATTATTTTGATTTACTTGTATAATGATTGTAGTAATGGAGGCCGGCATTTTGAAAACTATTGCAGCGTCCTTCTACTGTACGCCACACCTGCAATTGCAAACGCTTTAAAAGACCAGACGACTAATATTACGCATACGTAACGTGGCCATCTATCTGCACTTGAGTCATGTCGAGTCTGCTAGTCAACATGCATGCATGCATGCTATATATGTATGTATGTGTATAGTTTGTTTATACATACAAGTAGGCATACACACGTACATACAAACATTAATGTATGCATGTAAATGACAGCTTCAGCAACTTCAGCGATAAGAGCACAACAAAAACAATCTGCAGACATTCGAGGCTCCTAACAAGTGTCAAACGATGGATGTCAGAACGCGTATTCAATTAAGCGCAGCGCGAGCAATCAAAGCCTTCAAACCACAGACCACCATCACGGCTGACCGACCACCGACCACCGACCGACGAGCTAAGCTGAGCTGAGCAAGCAATGTTTATATACTTGTATGTATGTACTGTACACTAAGAGAATAAATGTTTTTATACGAACACCGAGTGCGAACATTATCAATAGTTGGATAAGTTCGTAATAATTGCTTTATGTAGGTTTTGTACAAATACTTAGTAGTGTATCTAAACGCGTTTTATTCTAAGCGAACTGAAGTGGATCTGATTCACGCCGGAGGTATCACTTTTTCAAATATTTGTTCTTCGCCGCATGTGTGTCGCTGTTTCCTGTAAGTTTTTCATTTCATTTATATGTTTGTATTAATGGAACATTAATATTTTGCAATATTGATAATACAGATACGTATTCTATCAATACTGACCTTATCAATGATGACTAAATAGATAAATAACACACATGTAAGTATCTATAACTTACAACGAGCATACGTGCATAGTGCTTGAACATTGTGGCCAACAGCGTAGTTGGGAAGATCAATTTTTTTTTGCTCCATTTTACATTTGGGGTTAAATTGTTGAGCAAACCTCCCAATAAAATACCCGGTACCCCAACAAACTTCCACCGCTGAAGAAGAAATTAAATTGTTTCACTAATAATTTTTCTTGGAACTGAACGATTTAGATGAAATTGAAATTTACAGCGGATAACTAGTATATTAATTATTTACGCAAAGTTTAGTTAACTAAGGAGGTAATTTTTGAAATACACTTGTTACGAAAACGAATTCTTTAGTATTTTTGTAATAAAATACGTTGTCCGTTTTTTCATTGTTAAAAATTAAGTTCGATCGACGCAGTTCGTTGAGTATCGCCGTGAAGGCAAGACATACAAGTATTGTGCATAATTTTCATACATATTTGAACCGTTAAATACACTTTATTTGATCAACATTGTGGTTTTGTTGTAACTGTGTTTTTTAATGACGTTCTTCTTGGAAGTGGAAAAAAATCTACAGACAACGAAACTCGTGCCAACTACTAGATCTTCCTAGAGCGAAAGATTGTTCGAGCCGGATAAATAAATATATTTCTTTTACAACAGGTAACGATAACGTCCTCCGGGACGCCACAACACTTGTATCCCGTACACTTATGTAAAGTCATGCATGACTAAATCGATTCTGCTGTTAATGCAGATCAGGAATTTTTATACTTTATGGGGAAGGAAATGCTTCCTTCTGCCTGTTATATTTTTCACTTTGCACAAACCTAATACATATGTACATATGTATGTAGACCCTTTGTACCTTTTAGGTACGGCCTGAATTCAAACCTACGCAGTCCACTGGTGTATAAATTTCTTTTCCTGAGTGTATGTATGTGTGTAAGTATGTATTTGTAAACAAACAAACCGCGAACTATTTATGTATGTATGTAAATAAAAGTACACAACACATTCTTAAGCGCTGCTTAGCGCGGCGCAGCCGCATTCGCAGTCACAGCTTAACCGAACAACAGCCAATGGAGAGAGCTCGGAGAGCGTAAGAGGCGAAGAGAGCGAGAGCTCCAAGCTAGCCCCAAGTGCGCAGTGCGCAGTGCGCGGTGCGCGCTCTAACTTTTTTGGCGGCCACTCTGACGTTTAGTTCGTCATTTGCACGCGCTTACGCCGGTCGTCTTATTTTGTTGTTTACTGGCGCGATCGTAGTCGTGGTTTTTGGTTTTGTTTTTGTTTTTGCTGTAGCTCTGGCTGTGGCGGTTGCTGTTTGGGGCCACGTTTAGAAGTCATCGACGATCTGCATATGTATGTGTGTGTCGCGTGCGTTCGTATTTTAATTTTGAACGCTGATTTCACTACCAATGCAAATATTGATTTACTTTGCCTGCTGCTTTTGCTAATACATTATTCGTTTGTTTTTTTTTTTTTGTTTTTTCAGCACTTACATATGAGATGCTTTAATAGTTCTCAGTATGTTGGTTCTGTCTGTGTGTTATGTGTGTGTGTGTGTGCGTGTGTGTGTTTATATGTAACAAAGCGAACCATTGACTTGCAAAGACCGCATATTTTTGTGTTTGCAGCAAAAAAAAGAAATAATAATAAAAAAAAAGCCGCTGCACATAGAAAAGTTCAAAGCAATAAAATTGCAAGAGCAGCATATTCTGCCATAACATCAACAACCAACCAACAACAAGCACTGACAGCAACGGCATGAAGTGGAAAACTTAAGCAAACAGTCGGGTAGAAAAAATATATACATACATATAGTGTATGCAAAGAACGGCGATGCCGAGAACATCTTTGGCATCACATCAAAAACGTGTGTTTTCGCTTGGCAGGATCTCTGCAACACTCTATTTCTCCCTCCTCTCGTCACTCTGCCACTGCCACAGACAGCTCTCAGTTTGAAAACAATAAAAAATGTTAGGGGCGATTTAGAAAATCAATTTGCAATGCTGGATCACCGTTGTCCAAATACATACATATGTATATTTGTGTGTATATATTTCTATAAAATATCAATATCATATAAAAAAGAAACCAGACCATACCTAACAATGACGCGCTTGCCACGCCGCACAAAACACCCACGCACATAGCTAAAAACAAAAACAAATTAGGAAGCGGGCGCACTCGGCTAAGAGATACCCTGTTCTATAAACTCGTACATATATATGTATTTGTTTATTTTTAAACAAATACTTGTTTTCAGTAAGACCAATATTTCGATCATTATTTTCTATGGCAGCTACTAAATATTATGAATCCAAATATCGTGCTGGAATTGTACTTTCTAAATCAACGCAGCTTTAATATTCATGGCTAATTTATTCAGACTTATAGTAAATGTACTTCGTCTTTATACCTTAGATCAACTATAGTTAAATTTTGTTCCCAACTTAACATGGGATATCCTTGTTGCATATACTGTTGCAGCACTAATGTGCTGGTTAATACAAATAAGAACCATCGTATACCTACATCGGATAAAAAATGCATATTTTCAAGATATCAACTACAGAGAGCGCTTGTGAGAAGTGCCGAGAACGGCGAAAGTTACGCATGCACTTGCGAATAATAATAATATACCTATTCTAACATTTGCAGGGGCGTAACTGTTAAAACGCCCCCAACCTTTGTGCTTTTTTGACATTTGGCAAAAACGCGCTGTTTATACAATATTATGTGTATATGTAAATACATATTTTTACTTGTACGAGTATATATATATACGTCGAAGTCGTTGTCGTCTTCGTACAGCTGAAAGCGTAATTTCGCTATTCAAGGTTAAATGACGAAAAATCTGTTTTTAGTATGCGTGCTCGCCATTCGCAACTGCAGCAATAATAAACAAAAAAATTAACAAAAATGCTGAATTTGCGAAAAAAAAAATACCAAAATAAAAAATTGCCACGAAAGCGAAACTGTTTGAAGAAATGCACGCCACAAATTATCCCAATTACCAGAAAATTGTAGCAAAGACTTTTCTATACTTTCTACTTTTGGGCATAAGCCCAAAAAAAAAACATCATCGGGCACAATTCTATCCCAGTCGCCATGATGATTCTGAAATATTTCACATTTATTTCCTTGCATGTTTCCTCACAAATTCGAAATTGCAAAAACTTTGAGATGAAAGGCAGCAGTTCAGAAACACGTATATTAAAGAATTGATGAACAAGTCTGTAGCTCCGAATTACGAATAATCTGTCACTTAATTAATTACAACCCCTTCTGCAGAGACTGAACGATTTCTGGACAATAGTATAAAGTACACATCATAGCCAACAGTAACCCAATAAATTGTTAGCTATATTATGTACGTGTGCATAGTTGAAAGAAGATCGATCGACCGATACATACGTACTACATATATACAGGGTATATGATGACTTCAAAATTGAAAGAAACAAATTGGTAAATCAATTATAAAGGTGCAGTCAAAGCGATTGGTTTTATTAAATGACTCACTTGGGATATTATAATATATACATATTATGAAATAAAAGACTCGAGTGAGATAAGACTCGAATAAAAAAAACGGTCCGTTGCAGTTCAATTACTCAATTAGTATTGGAATAATGCAAATATATATTGCTCATACTCGTACTGATATTGTTTTGGGGCTGTTGAAATTGTAATGGGACGTGCCTGGATTGCCTTTGCCATAAAATGTTTTAACTCATTCATTTCCATAGCGGAAATAATGGATATTTTGAAGCGTACTATTGTGTACACCTAATTCTGTTTTTACACGGTTTGAAAATTAACATTTTTATATATGGTTACACGACTTTATTCCATTTAGCACGATTCATTTTGCATATAATCAATGTGTTTTTTTAGACGACTTTTTTAGGAACCAATCTACCGTGTAAAAACAGAATTAGGTGTATATGTTTGTACGTCATTTAATTATCGGCTAATTGTGCAATGCACTACAGGAAATGCAATTTTGCTTTAATTTAATTTCCTATGCGTACAATGAGCATCACTTATGAGCCCATCAAGAGCCCTTGCCTGCAATGGAAATTGTCATGAAGGGTTCCAAACGTATGTATACATGTACTATGGTATATGTATGTACATAGTTGCTGTGTCTGATTGTTCAAGTCTGTACTACTTCCGCTCCGATCTGTTGTGCTCTGGTCTGCAAGCCACCGACTCAACTTCTGTGGCTGTGGGTATCTTTTGTACTCATTTGTTTGTTTTGGCAGAAAGCGTTAACGGCGTTAACAACCTACCTTCAGTGCTTGCCTGAGCACTTCATTTTCAACAATTATGATTATTTACTCTGTGCCGACTTTTGTTAAGGTACGCAGCTTTACTTCATTCACTCACTCACTCACATGCGTATGAAAATGTTGTTCAGCTTTTGAATTACTTTGAACTTAAATAACATACAGAAAATATACACAGGAAGAAACTGATGAAATGAATGCTGAAGACTGTGCGTCAGACAGAACGGCTGTAAACTAATTCGGGAATAAAATACAAAAGAGACGGTGGTTCCGATCTCCGGCATTAAACAAAGCACACCGTTTTAACTCATGTTTTCTCCCTGTGTATGTAAATATATTTCATATAGCATTAGCGGAATACAAGTATGTAAACAAAAACTTGCTAATGAAAACAAATCACAGTAATAACTGATATGATTCGTAGTAGTATTTCAGAACTTAGATCAATATATGGGCAGCAGAACTGAGTCGCAGCTCGACTTGATAATTTCACCAAGTCGGTCCCCCTCCTCTCGTTCGTTTTCGCGCACAAATTAAGTTCTTTGAAGAAATGAATGAGAGACCCATAAACAAACAACAAAGTATAATTGCTGCTCACACTGGGAAGAGGAGCTGTGGACCGACCTCCAAATTCAATTAACAACTTTGACGGTGATTGAAAACCATTGCAGTGGCAGTTACTACGCATACCATATCATTCAAAGATACAAACGAGCATTTACTATATCTACGAGTATATTCATCGGAAGCTGGGGAGGGTGTTACTGTTGGTGTTGGTGTTGTGATTCAATTAGAGCTTCGAAAGCAAAAAAGAAACCGTTGTGGGGGCTGCTTGTCAGAAATTGATCGTTTGGATACAACTCGTTAGGCAATTGCATTAGATGATGACGGACAGTGTTAGTTGCTTAAGCAAATACATGAGACATGAATTCGTTTCTGGATATTTTTCAATAACTTGCTACGAAGTGACTCAGCTGTTGTAGAAAAAATATCACTCATTTACTCTACTACTTATCCCACCGTTGACAGTTTGTAGCTAAAACTCTAAACGCAACTTCTCGCATTAGTCGCTTCCCTGTTCCCGTATTCGAATTCCAATTAATTAATTCCGACAAACGATTGAGTTGTTCGGTTTTAAAGGTTTTGCCTTCAAACTAGTATTCCAATTTTGTCCCACTATCCACTTTGAAAACCGAATAACTCAATCAGTGTTCGAGAATTGCAAAAAGGTAATAATTTCGATTCCGCACAATTTGCTTGGTCGAATTCGGAGACGGGAACTGGCCTCACATTAAATGTACGCGTAATTCAATGCATATAGGCATAAGTGTTATCTATAAATTTATTTGTTCTCATACACTCATTCATTTATCAGCGCACGGGCGAAAGCAGTAGAATCACTTGCTAAAATAATTTGCTACTCGATCGCTTCGTTCAGGCCCCGATAGGTTATTTGTTTCTATTTCTATTACATAGCCAAGCAAAATTCGTAGCATGTTATTTAGACCATAAAAGTGAGTAAATTATTGGCAATAATTATTGGTTTATACCGACTACTCGCTCGTATTACTCAACTACAAGTACCATTATTAAATACTCTAACACAAAATCACTCTACTTTGTTTTTGTTCACGTTTTAAATTTCGGAATAAAATAGAGACTAGAAACTTAAATGCTTGTTCTTTCCGTTTTTACAAGTATATCTAATTATTATTATTATTCACTAAGTAAATATTTTCAAATATAGCATGTATTCCATATTTTAGTTCGTTTCTTTATGTTTTAATTTGTTATTCGCATATTGAAGTCAGTTATGATTTGCAGGATTGGCAAAAGTGTCTCAAAAAAATATTTATATGTATATTTCGAAATCGAATTAAGTACGTACATATGTAAGGATATATTTTACATTTGCTTTGAATGGGTATTAGGCTCATTTCGATATCCTTGGATATTAACCTCTTCGTTTACTGTATGTTCTTGAACTGGAAATATATGAATCATATGTACTATATATATATATGCTTTTTTCCCCACAATTCGGTCGTTGTGGGGACTAGGCCTTATATGAAGCGCGCACTATCATCGCCACACACACACACACACACATAGAAATGCATGGGTGTAGCGCTGAAGAGGAAAGCCGGACAGCCCCCCCTTCTTAGAAACCAAACCAAACCAACTTTTTGTTGCCCATTAACTTAAATACTCGTATAACCGTCTTCAATTGCATTGTTTTAACTTATTTGAACGCTTCTCTGAATATGTACTATCAGAACCGAGATCAGAAAATATGAATATATAAAAATTCAGAATTGATTGAAACATATTGATTTGAATTGAAATTTCTCGATACAAGTCGGAGGGATCATTTGAAACTATCATTAAAACCATATAGTATATGTAGTATCAGCTGGTAAAATATAATTTTTTGTTTTTTGGGAATTGCTAGTTTTGTTTTTTCTATTCACAATCAAAGTATGATGATTCCTTTTAGTAACTCTTAATTCTGGAAAAGTAAGCAGATTATTGCTTAACTTGTTGTTTTGGGTTCTTTATTTACACCAGACTTGCGGCAGACTAAATAAGTACGAATATCTGCTGAATCTGTTTAGTCTAATGACTGAAGTACAATCGTGTATATCCTAACATTTTTTTCATGTAAAAGACATCCAATTATTTGCGATTTTTTACGATGACGACCATCTTAGGAAAATTGGTCATATGTAATCATATAATAGCCAATGCAGTGAACTTTTTTGGGAACCCCATTTACATCTACTTGTACATATTGTGTAGCGGTTGAAACAAAATCTTGCCTCCCCCTAAATAAGTCATTGGCTACGACCATGTATACACATACATACATACGTGTACATATGTGTACATATGTGTGCAATCAAGCAAAGATAAGCTGAACACCTTCAACGATAATAGGTACAACAACACACTAACGTGCAACCTCTTATCAGTAGGAAAAGCAGCAACGCACGAATGAGAAGCGCGAACGCAGCACAAAAGCGATACGAAACTATCAAATAGAGAACGATGTTTAGAGCGTGAAGTGTAATTTAACAAAAGAAAGAAATTAGAACGGAGCCCATGTCGCTGGCTAGAATTATGAATAATCGCTGACAGCAAAAAAACAGAAGAAGGAACAAAAGGCAAAGGCTATACAAAGTGGAAAACAAAAAGCTGAAAAATCAACAGCCCATGTATATAATGCACGATATAAAAAATCTAAAGGATCCCACAGTCAATAATTGGCCCCTGTGGCTATGGCTTTGGTTGTTGTTGTTTGTGGGCAAAGCCACAGCGTCCGCCAATGTTAGCTGCATAGCACACGATACCAAAGTGACCTGCGACTGTCATGATGAGGACCAGGTGAGTAATGTGTTAAGGGCCTGAGTCACTAAGCAATCACTCATCGAATCACCGTTTGTTTGCAGGCCATGTTCTTGCCACCGCTTGGAGGAGTCGCCTATAAAATAGAGATACGCAACTGCCGTGCTCTAAATGTGGAGCCGTATGCATTGACCGACACCATTGGACTACGCACGATCACCTTCAGGCAGGTGGACAACCTGGTGCTCAACAAATACGCGCTGAGCTATGCGAGCAAGGCGATCATTGTCGAGTTCGAGCAGGTGAGTCAGCCAACACATTTCATTTCATTTCATTTCATATGTATCCCAATCATGTATTCCAATCAAAACCCTTGTGGACTAGGTCAACTTCAAGCTGATCGATTCGCACGCCATCAATGGCAACATAGAGGAGATCTCATTCGTGGGCGGACGCATAGAGCTGATGCAGCCGTTCGGCCTCACAACCACCAAGGATAGTGCCATATTGCTTAGACTGGACGGTGTTACGATACAGCGCATTGAGAGTCAAGTGAGTGAGAACAAACAATATTAATATACAAATTTGATAAAAGAAAAAAAAATACAAGTAGATACAAGGTGTGTTCCAAAGTAAACAGGACTTTAAAAAAAAACAAGAAAGGAATGCTAAAGTCGAGCAGGCTCAACTCTTAAATACCCTGTACCACCCCGCAAAAAAGTAATTAAATTAATTAAATTAAATTAATTAATTAATTTAATGTGGGGGGGGGGGGGGGGGGTGGATCAGACAAAATGAACAAACTCGTCCTTTCTCGGTCTCAGGAGAATCTGTATACCAAGTTTGGTTATTCTAGCTCTTATACTTTCGGAGATCCTTGCGTTCATACAGACAGACAGACGGACAGACGGACATGGCTATATCGACTCGGCTTGTCATGTTGATCAAGAATATATATACTTTGTGGGGTCTACCAAGCCTCCTTCTGTGTGTTCCATGTGCACTCGCACAAAAATAATATACCCTTGTACCCTTTGGGTACAGGGTATAAAAAATAGATACAAGGTGTGTTCCAAAGTAAACAAGACTTTAAAAAAAAAAAACAGAACAAATGGTTTATTCGGCAAAATCAATTTATTCTATTCAAAGTAGTCTCCTTCTGCTTCAATACAGCTTTTTGCACGATCCAAAAGCATGTCGAACGAGTATTTAGCTCGTTGGCCGGTATGGCCGCCAGTATGCCGGTGCAAGCCTTTTGAATGGCCTCTACGTCTGCATAACGCTTTCCCTTCATGGGCAAATGCATTTTCCGAAAAGGTAGAAGTCGCACGGTGCCATATCAGGCTAATACGGCGAGTGGTTAATGGTTAAAATGTGATTTTTGGTCAAATAATCGGTCACAAGCGTCGATCGAATGTTGAATTCTGAGCAATTTTTGGTCGTCAGTCAATTTGTGCTGAACAAACCGTGCCCACACCTTTCGTAAGCCCAAATGTTCGGTCAAAATGCGATAAATCGATGTTTTGGAGATATTCACCTCCATTTCCATCAATTTCAATGATGATTTCGGCTGATTTTTGATGAATTCACGCACAGTTTCGATGGAATTTTCGGTGATCACGAATTTTGATTGGCCCACATGTTGATTGTCATTTATGTCCTCACGACCACTTTGAAAACGTTGAAACCACTCGTGCACTCTGCTACGGATTAGGCAATCATCGCCATAAACTTGTTCCATCAATTGAAACGTTTCGGTAAAAGTTTTACCAATTTTAAAACAAAATTTAATGTTGGCTCTTTGTTCGCACCGATAACACAAATATACTGACACTTAAAACGCAATAACTTCACTTCCAATCGATGAAATGTCATGAAATTCTCACTGGAAAATCGATAGATTCAAAAAGTCCTGTTTACTTTGGAACGCACCTTGTACAACTTCTTTAAGCTGACTAAAGCTGATTGCTTAAATACGATAGAAAAACGAACTCTATTAAAGTTTATCTAAAATATCTCTTTCCCTTTTGGTTTTAATGAAATGGTAAATGCTAAAAGTTTTCAGCTCCTCCAACTCATTCTATCATTACACTAAAATATATATATATACTTGTATAATATAGTTCTTCATAGCTTACAATTTATTTATGGGAATAAATTATTCTTAAATACGAGTATGCTTAATTATTTTTCACGATACTATTGATGCCAAATCGATCAAGTGTCATCATACAATACATAGTTGCAGTTTTTCTATATATTGAAGCTCATCTAAAATGTATGTTTTCCTTTTAGTTTTTTTGAAATGATAAATGCAATCAGTTTTTGCTTCTCCAGCTCATTCTATCATTACTCCAAAATATATATACTCGTATAATACAGAAGTTCTACTTGTACATAGCCTACAATTTATTTATGGGAATAAATTATTCATAAAAACCAGTATGCTTAATTACTTTTCACAAGACTATTGATGCCAAATCCATCAAGTGTCATCATACTATATATAATTTAATGTTTATTAGTTTAAGGAATTGTGGTCAATATATTTGTTAATGTGCCTGAAATGTGTTGCATGATTTAAGGCGTCACTAATAAAACCTTTTTGTAGGCCTTTAAAAAATTTGCCGTTGAGCAAATGCTCATTACGAATTGCCATTTCCTGGGCGATGTCCAGTCAAAATCCTTCTACGAACTGGAGGTACTCAGAGAGCTCAGCATTAGCAACAATCAGTTCCAGATGGTGCACTCCCATGCGTTCTCCTTTAAGCGTAAGTGGTGCAACAAAAAGTTAGTGTACTCACTAAGCATATATCTATTTTTAAACAGTTATTTCGAAGCTGAGTCTGAGCAACAATCGCTTTACGGCCGTGGACGGCGAGTGGCTGGAGGCGCGCATACGCGATGGCGTCACATTACGGGACAATGACTTTGGGGCCACCAGCGACATCGCCTTCCGCAGCCTGACAGTGCATAATGATTATAATTTGAATGAACGTCTGGAGCTGCGCTTCCACAACAACACCGTGCAAATGGCGACGGCAGTGCCGCCCCGACCACTGATTTTCAATGGGCGTCTTGCTCTCAGCCTGCGTCAGCTGCGCTACGACAATACCTGGCCCTGTGGGGAGCTGGACATGAACGAACAACCACCACAGCCCAAGGCTGAGTTCTTTCGCGTGCACAGCGAGCAGATTTTGTTTAGGAACGACACTAATCCGAGTTGGACGCCATTGCGTCGGCTAATTAGCGAACAGTGTCAGCAACGCAGCCATCTGGCCTATATTGTGATGGGCGGTGTGGCGCTCTTACTATTGTTACTGCTGATAGTGCTGGTAGTGTGTTGCCTCGTGAATCGGAGACGCAAGCGTCGCAAAATGGATGTGGTGCAGCCAGAGCCGCGCACCTACAAGGAGACGCAGATCATGTACCAAATCGAGAACGCTGGCCTGCTCAAGACTGATTTGTAGCGCACACCAAACACACCAAAAACAACAAGAACAACCGCAGATAGCCACCTAAACAGACACACACACACACACACACACGCACACACACCTACACAAGCATAGCTGAAAGACGCTAAGAGCGACGGGCAGTTTGTTAAATACCGTGCCCCAAATGAAAAAAGAGTGACCTTCGTTTTACCAAAATCTTAGCTTAGTCATCAACAAATATGTACGTAATATAACGCATAATATAAATTCTTAGGCGCCCTGTAAATAATTGTATATTCTATGTATGTGTTGTGGGATCGCTCATCCTGATCCCTCAGCTCATAACCACATATATCAATAAAACTGAAGTGCCTAGCACTTACCCTATGGGCAGATATGATTCCAATGCCTGATGTACAGTGAGGGTGGGTTCGGACAGCGCAAAGCCCTTAGAGAGCAGAACATGGTGAGCGCTAATTGTCTCCTCAATACCACTCAGATCATCAATATCCTTGTCATCTATAATTAGGGAGCAAATTATGTGAGTTGTAGCAAATCTTAGTTATGGGTGGTTACTCACCTGGTAAATTTAAGTCCTTCTTCATGAGATTGGCGCTGCACATGCCGCCCAAATAGGCCAGTTCCTGTTCTAGACGTATCAGGCACGAGTTGCTGGCATTAACCTAAACGAGTAAGATACAAACAAAATGAGGGGAGGCAATGAGTCAAAAGTCGAAAGACTGTTTTAATAAGGTTTATGCCTAAATGGATTTCCCACATACCATGCGGTTAACATGCTTTGTATAAATCTGCAAACTCCCTAGTATTACTTGTAATACTCATTTTTGAGGAAACTTGCCAAAATAGATGTTAAAAAGACACTGCGACTACATGTGGGCTTTTCTGCTCAAATTAGGGCGCAAAAATCGCTCCATCTCCCTCAAAAAAGGGAGCAGTTGCCTCTTAGTCTTCCAGCATCTCTTAATTAAGGCTCTTTCCAGGCTTAGAAAATATGCGGGGTTCTTTCATCATCCTCCCGGCAGAAACTGCACTCTGGGTCGGCTTACAAATTAATTTTATAAAGGTGGTACCTATTTGCTGGAAATCGATACACTTTTGCGCTTAAAGCAATCCCGACCCACTCTCCCAAAAATAACCTGAGCACTAATTGTGAATGTAAAATAATACGAATTCTGAAATAATTTGATTGCACCCAGTATAGCTTCTATATAAATGTTTCAATAAGACCTCGTGCTCTCCAATATCGATTATGCTGTGTTTGTTTCACCTAGAGAGGCTGCCCCACCCATTTCTGAGTGTTACAAACATTTAATACCTTTTTAAAGCGCTTGCATAATAAATGTCTTGAGTGATTACTTACAGTTGTGGGATTGTCGTAGCCCACTACGAGGCACTTGAAACCATAGCGATTGTTGTGGGGATCCTGTGCATAAAGCGATGCGGTCTCGAGTGAGAACTCTACACAGTTTCCGGGCAAAATGAGAACGTTCTGCAGCCAATTGGAAGCACTACAAGAATACAGAGGGATTAGGTTTTTCGTCTCTAAATAGGGCATACTTGTAAATGCTCACTTACGTGTTGAACTTTTTCACGACAATCCAATCCCGATCCAGAGCATCTTGTGCAGGTAGTGATGATGTCGTTGCCGTGGTGTTATCGGAAGTCTTATAACAGCTGCTCATGAGCACCTGGGCGTTCCGGCAGTTGCTGCCAGCCGTACGCCTCGTCGGGCCCAAATTATTGTCGAGCATGTCGTAGTAGTCATCGCTCGATTGGCAAGGCTCTGGCGCTGTCGGTCTGAGGGGTATGGAGAGCAGCAAATAGTCCTCCAATTGTGCTGTGCCGCACTGGGCATCGAACTCAATAGTCAGCCACTGGACACAGGGCGGGAACTCAACACGGTAGCAACTAATGCTGGCACTGCGATACGGATGTTCGCTCTCCACCACGCAGTAGTGGTTGCTTGTTGTGGTTGACTGTGATGGGGAACCCGAGGCGTCAGGTCGCAAGGACAACGACGGTGCCTGCAGTGGCGCTGCGGATAACACAGGCCTCTGCTCCTTCGACACGCACATCTGATTGAGTGCCGCAATGTGCGGTAGAATATCTTTGATCAGCCCAAGTATTTGGACAGAGCTCTTGGGATCAGAACAGGCCAGGTTGGCAATGTGCGCATAGACGAGCGGCAACAAGGTGTGAAACATATTGGAGGCAGCCAGGTTGAACACCTCCAACAGTTGAACGGCAGCCACATGCGCACTGGCTGGTGCCTCCTCCGAATCCGATTGCACGAGCAGGGCCTGCTGATGGGCTGGGTGTGCGTGGACAAATTCCTCGACAACTTCGTCCTCAGCACGCTCGTTGCCATTAAGTTTGGCCATTTGGCCGTTTCGAAAATTAAGATCGGCCGTTTCCTCAACGCCAATTTCAGTGGCGCCGATTTCGATTTCCATTTCGAACGGATTTGTGGAGCGCTTATCAAATTTGAGTGTCTCAATGATGCCCTTCGAGAAGGATTCAATGCGCTTGCTCAGGTCCCGCGCTGTAGACAAATTTGGATCAACGGGGAGAGCCGCCGTGCGTGAATTGTTTGCCCAATTGATGTCCATATGCTCCTCGATAGGCGTGATGTTGTGCTCCGAGTCAATGGTCTGCGTATGATTTGATGAGTTGTCCGACGGGGAGAAGGATGCAGCCATGGCATTGCGTGCCAAAATAAGTAGCTCAGTGCACTTTTTGGTAATATCGGCCGCAATTTGGAGCGCCGTATCGCGGGTGGACACCTCACTGGCGGCTTGGGTTCCCAGGCCACTGGACATATCTCCGGGTATGGCACCCCCACCGCCATTGCTGCCATTAGCCTCTTGCCTGATGGGCGTGCTGTAGTAAAGAATGCATGGAAGCTGTCCCCGTGCCGGCGTCGTGCCGTTGAAACTCAGATCGCAGGCATAAAAGTGAAAAGTGGCGCCACAAGGACCGCGCACGGAGGGCAAACCTGCATCGCCAGAACAGGTGCGGGCACCTTGGGAACATAGACGAAGAGCATAGCGAGCGTTCTCCTTAATATGTACAGGGTGCTCAAACTTCAGTTCTGTGAGATCATTGTGCACAACGTCTTGGTCATAAGAGCCTGACACTGATTCCAACGTTTCCCATTTGTGTTGAGGCTGTAGGTCCGCGGTGTTGTCATACAGCAGCTCCAGCTGATAATCATAGCTGCCGGATCCCGAATAGACCATGGCGCCGGCAATCGCAATACCCGGCCGATCCACCGAAAAGGCAATGGCATCCGGCCCAAAGTTTCCCGTATTCCATGTCCGACTTAGGTCACAGCGTGCAAAACGCGAGCCTGTCGAATGCAAGGTGCGTGGAGGCAGAAACATCTTATCGTACTCTCCTAGTGCTGTCTGGTATACAATTTCGGCGAGCACGCGGGCCAACAAATGACAGCAGTTATCAATGAGGCCCTGATTAATGGTATCCTTGCCAATGCCAGCAACAGAAGCGGCCGCATAGCTGCCACTAACACTTCGATTGTAAATGGTTTCGATACGTGCACGAATGGGGCTGGCAATGATCTCAAGCAGACGCACCAGTACATCCTTAAATGTCCATGAATTGCTTAGAAAGTCGCTTTTCTCTTGCTGTGTGCGATAAATCATCTGCTCCACAAGTATAGGATATTGATGGGCCTCTGTAGATGACAACATTGGCAGACCCGAGTTGTCACTCGGACTGATAATAGACTGACGCTCGTTGCCGGCACTCAAAAGCGAGAAAGTGGCGCGCAGTTTGACTGTCGGCGAGCACAGACCCGCGAGTATGGCGCTCAGGAGCCGCGAGTGAAGTGCACCTCGATCCATCTGGGCAAGTAAGTCACATAGACAGTTCCATTTCAGCGAAGACGTTGGGTAAAAGGCATCGAAACAAGCCACAAAGCTTAGATGACACTCTTCCAATATTTCCAGCACCAAAGCAAAGCCTAAACGAAATGCAAACAAAATGTTAACCATCAAGATCTCCAAACCTTTTGTAAACCCCGTCTGCTTACCCTCATCGGTGGCAATATCCTTGAAAATATCATCGCAAAAGATGCCAATGAGCAGGGCACGCACATTGCCAATACACTCGGCCAGTTGTATGTTCTCCATATTGGGCTTTCGCGTAATGGACGTGCCCGTCGAGCATGAGTTGCTAGTAGCTGCTGTAGCTGCCGCCGTGGCTGCATCACCAAAATACTTGGCTACGTTGTTCGCCAGCAGTGAGCTAGCAGCTGAGCTAAGTACTCGCGCTGCATTTTTATCTGCAAGCATATCAATCAAAAACTATAATACGGCTCTAATTTATTTATGTATGTATATTAATAATCATACCTTTAGCTGCCGGATCGTGCTGCTGCTTGTTGGCCGATAGCTTGGGCGGAAGTTTGGAAATAGCCGCTGCTACCATGCTGGATGCAGCGGCTGCTGAAGCCGCCGCACTCATGCCCGGCTGACCCGTGGCGGCTCCGGTTGCAGCCCGCTGTGGATAGATCTCATTGGTGTATTTGCGCAGCAGCCGCAAACAGGACTTATTCACATAGCCCAGATACTCTAGGGATTGCTGCACTTGCAGCGGTCGCGATTTGTCACGTTGCTCACGCAGATTGGCTTTGAAGGTCTCCCAGGACCAGCTAAGCAGCACCACTAGACTTTCGAAGCACTCCCGACTGACGCTGTTGGCAAATGCTTTAGATATGCGTTGCACAGGATCCACGTCTAGCGGAGCGGGCGGTTGTTTGGACTCCTGCGTCACCAGGCGATAGAGAATGGCTGGTATTTGGCCAGAGTTCACGTCCGTGCCATTGTTAGCCTTCTTTGATGATTTGAACGAGAAAACTACCTGATCCTCGGTAGTAACCGATGCTTGACCGCAGGAGCCACAGTCCGAGGAGGGTCCTGCAATGCGCGCCCACACAAGGTACCAGCGTCCGGCGGCCGCATTGATGGGCTTAGGCAACAGTATGTGGTGTCTACTCCTCGCTGCGCACTCAAAAGGCACCTCTTTGGTCTCACTAAGCAAGACGCCCTCTTTTTCGTATCCACCACCATCGGTGCCCAGATCATATAGTTTAAGCTTGCACGTATATTCGCCACGGCCTCCGAACATGCCGAAACCACAAATCATAATGTCCGTATCGGCAGCAAACCTGATGGCCTCCACACTGTGGCCGGAGTAGCCCCAGCCGCCACCAAAATTGTCAAAACGATTGACCACCTGATACTCGCTACTCTGCGCCTCGAAGGTCTGATGAGGCTGCTTGGGCAGCACCTCATCAAAGCAGCCCGGAATATTTTCCTGCGCCGACGTGAGAATGTCCAGGCAGGCAAGCAGATTAAGCGATGCCTGTGAGCGTGAAACGCGTGCCTCTGACTGAATGGGAAGCGAAAGTTCCGGGGAAAGCAAGGCCCTGTAATTGCGCGCATTCTATAAAGCAAAAGATATGTTCAAATTAAACAATTGCATTCTAATTGGCAATATAAATTTAACGTACCATATCACCCTCAACGATCTCGCTAGCTACCACATTGTGGCAGCGAAGTTTGCGTGCGATGCCATCGAATACCCACAGAACATTGTAATTCGGATCCATGGCAAAGGCAATTTGTGGTTGTGGCTTTTCTGGCGATGCAGGACCTGCGCTACTTCCAGCGCAGGGCTCCGGACGTTGGCGTGCGCGTCGCTGTCGCTGCTGGGACGTTGCCATTGGCGATGCCTCAAACTGTTCCTGATCGAACACCTGATTGCGTGCTTCGTGCATGGAGCGAGACATTTGCTCATTGATGGGCATACCAGCCCCGCCTCCAGCAGATGTTGATGCAGAGGCGACCAGTTCGGATATAGGCGGACTGGCGGCCACATCGACATTCTGATTAATCTCTGGTTGTGTTTGTACAAAATTCACCTGATTGCGATAGTGGGCGGTGCAGCTGCCGTCGCGTCGATTGATGGAGAGCGTGTGGAAGGACAACGGTATGGTGGGTATGAGCACTGAAAATAAAAAAAGATTAGACTCAATGATGCTCATTGAATGTTCACATCTGCTTACGTATAGTCTTTTTGTTGGCGACCACATGCATCTTGGGCAGCATTTGGGCGGTAATAAGCGACTCGTCGATTTTTATAAATGTTTGATCCCCGTTGGCACCTATCCAGGTGACCTTCTTGCCATAGTTGGGACCCAACCCGCTGTAGATAGGAAAAGAGCAGGAGTTGAAAAATATGTTGACGACTCGGAAATGGTTTGTTGAGACACTCACAAAACTGGGCCCGGCGCACAATTCCAGAGGAACTTTTGACGTTGCGCCAGAATGGCGGCCGCTGTTGCCGAAGCGGACAATTGTGCTGGTGGGTGCGCTTCCCGGCTACCTCCAGGCAGCACTCCCGTTTCCTGTGTTGCAGCCGTCGTCTTTGGCAGTATGGGAGATGGCATCGCCCTATGTGAGACTTCCTCCTCCTGCCCTACACTGCGTTCTTTCTGCCCATAGTCGCTTGGTAGTCGACCTAATTGGCCTTTCTGATAATTACCAAATGTGTATACCATTCCCTTGTGCGTCATTAGCACTGTGTGATTGCTGCCTGCAGCCACTTGACTAATAGCACCCTGGACATGCACCTTTACGGGTCCATTCACAGGTTGAAGGTCGCCCGTGCCCAGCTGTCCATATTGGTTGCTGCCGAAGGTGAACACTTCACCGGCCAGGGTGAGCACGACTGTGTGATGTAAGCCGCAGGCAACCTGAACTACCGGCGAGCTACTGGGCAGGGTAAGCAGCTGTGGTGCCAAAGGTGCCACCCGTGGTGGATCCTTATCATAGTCCGTGGGTGTGCTGCTTGCGTCTAAATCCGGACAACATCCCTGCTTCTTTTCCTTGCGACGCATAATCAACGTTTTTGAGCGTTGCTGTCGGTGGAGATCGCTTGGCAGGGGCTTAAGTTCCAGCTTGGTGTCTACAAAAATGGTGTCAAAAGGTTAGAGGGAATTCAGAGAAAAGGTGCCACTACCCACTACCCACTCACCACTCTCGCTCTCCTGTAGCGCAATGCAAGCGGCACACAATCCGCACTTGGCACAGCCCGCATCACCATGGCCACAAGGGCAAATGCTGCCCGCCAGCCGCTCCTCCAGCGGTACATTTAACGCTGATACACAGGAGACATTGTAGCCAGTGCACTCTCGGCACATAACGCAGACACGGCACTGCCCCTGCACCAAATTGTGGTCGTCATAGTCGCACAGCGTTGAGAAATCGACCTTGGGTCGCTTGTCTACGCCACTAGTTGATCCAACAGCCGGAGCTAATGGCAACAGGGTGGCATATGCTGAGCTGCTAGCTGCCATATCTTTTGCAATCGTCGTCGCCGCCGTCGTCGTCGTCGTTGGCATCAGCACCTTGTTAAAGACTCGGCCGCATTGTCCTTTATTATTGAGTCCGAATGTATAGAGTTGTCCCTTGGCATTCAGCGTTACACAGTGCGCCTTACCCAGGGCCACTTTGGTCACATGCTGATCAATTAGGTCACTAACAAAGCCCATGGCATCACAATGGGCCGTATCCTTGCCAAACATGATGAGCTTGCCCGTTTTAGTAACGAAAGCAGATGTGCCATTGTTGCAGGCCGCATGCACAACGACATGTCCATCGATTTTAGTCATTTTCTTCGGCTTCACCGCCTTTGGCTGACGTCTATTCTTTGAGCTGTCTCCATCCTCGCCACGCCGTGCTGTGCCCGCAAAATAAACGGTTCCATCATCGTTGACTAACAGCGCATGGATGCCATCGTGACCCACAGCCACGTGCACGATGTGCGCTGCCTTCGAAATGATGAGCTCTGTCAGCTTCAGCGTCGGCGTTCGACCGACAGACTTTAGGCCCAGTGAGGCGGACTTGCCATAGAAATAAACCTTTCCATTCCCAGCACGCACCAGACCGAACTCCTTACCACATGCCATGCCGAGGACATCGACATCGCGACAGGGTAACTTTGGCTCGAAGTTATTATGGGAGGATTGGATACGCTGGATTTGATTTTGATTTAGCACCTCGTCCTCGAATGCGGCATAGCCCAGAGTGCGAAACTTCTTGCGGGCCAACTGCAGGGGCAGCTCAAAGGGTGGGGGTTCACTTGTGTAGCTGTTATGATACAGATTTAGTTTCTTCACCACTAACGTGTCCTGCAAAAGATTGCAAATTGTACAATTGTCAAGGCTTAATTGGCATTCGGTACTTACATCGCGATTGGTGCAGATGGCATGTAGGGAGTCATCGTCGGTGAAGAGCACATAGTTGAAGCCTTCGCGTATCGGTAACATATTGACTGGATTAATGGCTTTCACCGCCAACGTGTCCATGCCGACCAAATGCAAGTGATCCGCATTGCGTTTTGAGTTGCGCCGAAAATAAAGTTGCCCACCACTATAACCCAACCAGGCACTGCGTTCCTTAGTGAAGTCATCGTTCTGCGCATAAATGTGACCCTTGTAGGAGCCACCAAATCCAGTACCGATCTTCAATAGCGCGCCCCCATGCAGCAAATAGACAAAGACACCATCGCAGGCCATGGCAGGTTGCATGAGCGGCGCAACGGTGCCCAATTGCAGAGGGAACTACAAAGAGAACTATTAGATAAGGAGACTGTAAAAGAGCCATTAACTCACCTCGTCGATCAGCGAATTCTGCGGCACGCCATGGCTGTGAAAGTCCGGCCGTGTCGGCTTGTTCAGTGCAGCACTCACCACAGTGTTTTGCAGAGCCGCCAATACAGCTGGCAACTGAATGATCTGTGCCGACAGCTGCTTAGGGGACATTAGCATTGCGGCAATGGCCTTTAGCATTTTGCCAGTATCGCCGCGTGCGATGCAGAGACCCAGAAGTGCAGAACAGGCCATGGCTGACCAATTGGCTTCAGCGCCAGTGCTGGAGCTGAGGGCTGCCGGCATGGTTGCCAAGTCTAGCAGCAAATCATAGAGCGGATTGATAAGTTCCTCCGGCTCCAGCTTAAAAGATTCCGGCTGCTGACCCTGTATGACATCCAGCAGAGCCTTGAGCGCCTTGGTGCACAACAGTGGCTGAATGTGACGCGCATCGGCAATTAGCTCGAAGAGACTGCGAAGGCCAGCGCCCACAATTAGCGGAACTGTTGCATATACCGGTTCACGTTCCGTGGGTTCCTCCGTGTCTGAATCTGCATCACTGTTGGCAGAATCGCGACGCACCCGTTTCTCTGACTGTGCTGCTGCAGCAGCAGCACCACCAGCACCACCACCCGGACCGCCTCCGCCACCAGCGATGCCTGCTCCGCCCGCACCCATAGCTGCATGACAGGAGCAATCAACTAAATTGCTTACCATACAGCTGCCGGCACAGACGAGACAGCAGGAAGAATCCATATACCCAACGCCCCATTTTTTAACAGCAGCTGAAGTTAAAGCACTTCCACTACCCTCATGGAAGAGGGCATAACGGGTTTCAGCTTCCAACACAGTTGAACGTATAGCCGAGAATACGGCAAATTTTGAGGCATTTGGATCCAGTTCAATGTGTGCAACAGGAAAGGCCGGAAAGAAAAGCATTTGATCCTTCACTAGTGGCGGATCTAGTGGATTAACAATAGCACCGGCATTGCCCTCCAGGACGGCAGCAGCAGCCGCCGCTGCCATCGCTGCTGCAGATTTCTCTTTGCGACTCTTGCGTTTCGTGAGTGCCTTTCGTTCATTTTGCAACTTTCTACAAAAAAATTTAAAATAACGGTGTAAAAATTAATGCAGGTCAGCATTTGCGCGCGCTTCACTTTCCAATTGGATTGTTTAGCGCTCAGCTGATCGCTGCAGCTGTTGACGGCACAGCGATGCCCATTTGTCAGCCAGAGCGGGCTTTTCAACCCCGGCACACCAACAACAACCCTAGGGGTTGAAGACCTATATATTGACAACATAACGGCCAGAGCACAAGGAAAATCGATCGATTTTTCAACCCCAAATGCCGAGGCGCCGTCGCCGCCAACGCTGCCGCAGTGCCATTGTCCTTTATGTGAATGCCTAGAATTACCTGCGTGTATTGCTTGTGTATAACTCATAAAAATGATCGCCATATTTCATTGGATTTAATAATCCAACCATTGCACGTTTGCAGATTGCCTTGCGTTTGAATCGATTTTTATTATATATGTATGTACACTAGGGCGACAACGACGAGCGCGATTTGCCGTTTCCAACCTTTTTTTTTGCTTTGTCGGCGCCGAACAAGACCGAGGCAACGGAAGGACCTTTTCCTTTTTATTTTATTGCACAAAAATTACAAATAACTAAGAATTAACTATTGCAAGCTTAATGCATATTTCATTCTTGTATAATTACACCACTGACTACTTAAATTTAAGCACATATTTGCGTTGGTTTAGCTTAAATGTTTTTCGGAATTAGGCGAAAACATTTTTTTTAATTTTTTGCGACAGGAGCTGCGGTAGCGCAACGCTCGCGAAACAATGAAGAGAGTACTGAACGTTGTTTTTGTTGCTCTTTGCGCGCCACCCAGCTGTCCTTGTAGCCAGTACTGAGTAACGTGCAAATATGAATTTCGGAGGGCTGCCATCAGTGTGAAAAATGTTTGGCCTTGCCATCTGGTAGAATTCCCAGCTGTCAAAATTGTCTGCGGCAGCGGCAGCAACAACAAAAGCAGTGCACGGAAACATTTTACGTAATTTATTTTTGTTAATTTATCTTCAATTTGAATCAAATTTGTAACTTTTGCTTATCTTTACAGCATGGGCAACGCTGTAACTCACTACTTGAAGCCCGATGTTATGCCTGGCCCGGACGTTGTGCCCTCCTTCGATCCGATGCTGGGCTTTGAGTCGCGTAAGGAACGTGTTATGATTGCTACAAAGGAGGAAATGGAATCGGCAAAGCTGCCTCTTGAAGATCGAGACTACTGTGCTCACAAGCTGATACAGTACAGATCCTGCCGCGCCGACACCTTCCCCTTCGTCTACAAGTGCGCACATGAGAAACACGAGTACTTGACCTGCGAATATGAGGACTACGTGCTCCGGATGAAGGAATTCGAGCGTGAGCGTCGGCTACTGGAGCGCCAAAAGCGTCTTGCCGGCAAGGCTTAGGTTAACGCATAATTATCGGGTACGTTATTATCGGGTGTTAAAAGTGAGTTGAAAGTATTTTCTCATACTGCCTACCGTCAGAAGCAGATGACCAACAACCATAAAGAAACAACAGCAGAAGCAGAAACTACAACAAGCAGCGATCTAAAGTTGGACGACTGCAGTTGACCGTTAATTTCAATAAATACATGCTAGTAATAATGTACCATCTGTTTTTTTTTTAGTTAATTAAATTAAAAATGATTAAAACCATAACTTAAAGTACATTTGCTTGTACATAAATACCTTTAAAATGCTCTTTATTTGTTCCAAAAATGTTGTGATAATGACTCTTAATTTAGATATTAAATTACAATTGCTTTCTGTATAATAACGCTCGCACACACACGCATCCACAAAGCACGGAAACACACAAACATGTTTATAAATATGTAGATAGTTATATATCAAATAACTTAGTAGGTATATGGCAAAGGACTAACTAAGGACCGTTCATCACTGTGACTACTTTTCAACAATCGATTGGATTAAATGCAATACATCCGCACAACTTCTTTGGTACTATTTGCTACGCCCTCCAACGGGCATCAACTAACTGGCGAGCACATCAAATGCCCAATTTTCGCCAGAACATATACATGCGCCCATTGGTCTCAAAAATGCTGCGCACCATGAAAACTTGAATGAGACCAACGCCAATCATGGCACTTATTTGCAACATCGACCAATTGTTCACCTTTTGGAAATTGGCTTCGGCCAAATTGCGGTCTCGGGCTTCGTGGGAGCGCAGTACGTCCTGCAATTGGCGTGCCTTGGTGAGTTGCATGCGCATACGGCCAATAAAGTCCATAATGTCCTGCACCTTCATGTCGTAGTATTCCTCGGGCGTTAGCCCAGCCAAGTCATCCACACCATTCCATTGAGAGTCGCCATGATGCTGCTCTCCCTCGCGCTCCACAATCAACTCAAAGAAGACCGTCTTGCGATTAAACACACTAAAACCATTGTCGAAACAGAAGCGGTAATCACCCTCCTTCTGCACTTCATGCCGATGGATATTCTCCGACTTCTTATAGTCGCTGACTATAACCAAGCCAATGGGGTCAAGTAGCGCAAAACTAATGTCCAAATCGCCGTGACCGCCGTCTATCACTTGGTACTCAAAGTCAATGGTTTCACCCAGTTTGACGCTCTGGTACAGGCACTCCTTCTTTCCGGCATCCACATAGACGGTCATCTCCTTTTCGTAACCATGAACGGCGCCGGGAGCTGCACAGAGAACTATCCACAGGCCCATCCAAACTAGGCATTTTAATGTTTGCAGATGCTGTGTGTGGCAAATGGCAAGCAAGCGTCGTTAATTGTTTTTTTATAGGCTTTGCATCTACAATGAATAACTATTTGCATACCATTTTGCGCAATAAGAGCAAGCGTATTTGTAGAGATCTGAAACACAGCGGTGTTTGGTGTTGTTTTCTTTGAAACTAGATATGTGAGAAAACATCGATGGTTTATCCGATACATGGAAGCGGTATCGATGCTTATCTTGGTCGTCCACCCATCTGCATATCCATGCACATCGATATCGGTGTTTTCGAAATGTTAATAGGCTTGATGATTTATATCAAATCAAAATATAATATAATGAAGAGGTGCACAACTTCGCTGTTCGAAAAATCTATTTCGCATCTATAAAGAGAAAAAGAAATAAACAGTGAATATAATCTGCAAGTATTTATTAATTTCAATGGTCTGTTGAATTTAACTTACTCCTAACGAATCGAAACGTTTTTCAATGACATATTTTGGGTTACTTATAAAAATCGTCTACATCAATAACTACTAATATATTTAAATATTTGCACTATTACTCATTTATTTATTGATGCTTATTGAATTTTAAAAAAATCGACACTCAATACACTTATATAATATGGACGTAATGAGTATTTCAAGAGTACACAAACTTTTTTGGCACTTAATCTGTGAAAAATATTACATTTTATATTATTCCTGGTTGGGTATCTAGTGTAAATGTGCAAGGCAATCCTGGACTTGTTGACTTGGAAATCAAAACGACAGCGTCCTTGAACATAAGGGGTCATAAGACTCGTCCTTAAGCTTTGTGCCCTCTTTATGGCGTACATTTAAATAACTTGTAAATGTAGACGGGCGTAATATACGATCTTCTTTTTTGAAATATTTACCTTCAATTGCCATTATGGAATTTCCATGTTAAACGATTTTTTAGTGTACTACTTTCCCCCCTAAGTCGTAAATTGACAAACTCCAATTCAGCAATACTATTCTTTACACATTTTGCTGATAAAAATAAATTGATTGATCGATTGATCGATATCAAGATTGTCGTTACCCTGGTTAATACTGAGAGTAATTTAAATAATTTATATTATCGATGCTTTTGCTATTTCCACTTTAAAATAATACGATTCCGAAAAGAACAGTACATATATGATAATTTAAACAAAAACCACCTTTTAGAATTATCTCAGAGCTATTGAACGGTGTGTGCCGGCGTATGGAGTGTAAAAATTTGCACTGCAGCTTTCTCAAATCGAGTAATCGGAACAATCTATCGATAAGCTCCAGCCCACCTGTGAAAGTGCGTACGAAAAGAAAGCAAAAGCGAGAACGAAAACGGGCACAAACGCTTAAGTGATAATCTGTCGGAGCTCTTGGGAGCTTAGAGCTCGGGAGACGAAAAGTAAGCAGACAGCAGTCAGTCTACAGAGAAGTTGCAAGAGCTGACGCTCGCTCAGTAGGTAGAACAGGTGCGCGCACTTTAGAGAACGGAGAATTTACGGTGCCAACAGCAGAATTTTTGGTTTACGGCTCAAACGTGGCAGCCAAAATAGTGTTAAATACCGTACGGCCAAGGCGCAGCGACCAGAAGACGACAACGACGACGAAAAGTTGCCGTTCGTGCAGCAGTTGCCGCAGATAACAGCACCAACAGCTGTTGCGCTCTGGTCCCATTCCACCTCCCGCCCGCCCGCCGTGCTTTTGCCCACCACCATTATGCCTGATCCCACACAACGTTTGTTTTGCATGAGCCTGCTGGTCCTTGCGCTGCTACCCACTATGTGCCTGGGCCTGCTCGAGGGCCTGTATTGTGGAAAAGAAAATTGTTACGATGTACTAGGTGTCACACGCGAATCCTCGAAATCTGAGATTGGAAAGGCATATCGTCAGCTGGCACGCCGCTTTCATCCCGATCTTCATCGTGGTGCCGAGGCCAAGGCGGAAGCTGAGCTTCAGTTCAAATTGGTAGCCACTGCCTATGAGATTCTGCGCGATGAGGATTCACGTAACGATTACGACTACATGCTGGACAATCCGGATGCCTACTATGCGCATTATTATCGTTACTATAGGCGGCGTGTTGCGCCCAAAGTGGATGTGCGCATTGTGATCGTGGTCACGTTGACTATTATCTCAGTTATTCAGTACTATTCCGGATGGCAGCGCTACGACTCAGCTATAAAATACTTTGCCACTGTGCCAAAGTATCGGAACAGAGCGCTGGATATAGCACGGGATGAGATTCAGGAGCGCATACATAATCGTAAGGGTAAGAATCGTTTGTCCAAGACAGATCAAAAGGAGGAGCTGGAGCGCATCATACGTAAGGTGATTGAGGAGAAGATGGATGTGAAAGGCGGATATGCGAAGCCTACGTTGTGGGACGTCCTGTGGGTACAGCTGCTGATCTGCCCATACACCATCATCTCTTTCCTGATCTGGCATGCTCAGTGGTTCTGGCGCTACACGATCCTCAAACTGCCATATGGACGGGATCAGAAACTCTATCTGATACGTCGCTACATGAAGATGGGTCAGCATCAGTTTAATGCGCAGGAGGATAAACAAATTGAGGAATATTTGCAGCTAGAGCTGTGGAAGCGTGAGAATTTCGAAGCGTGGAAGGCGGAGCAGGAGGAGGAGATGAAGAAGAAACTGGCCGAAAATCCTCGCTATAAAGCCTACAGGCGCTATATGAAGAACCATGGACCCGGTCGCATAACGTTCGAGGATTAAGCAAGGCGACCCCCATCAAGTTTTATTGATGGGAATTGGTCATCCTATCCTCACAGTCACGAAGAGTTGGATTCCATCCGTCACTCAGCTGCCTATCATTTGTGTTTTGACGTACATGCATGCGTGTTTTTTTTATACTTTTTGTTTCACCAACTAGAGAGAAATATTTGCAATAGCTTAAAAATAAATTATGTATGTTAATTCTGTAAACTTTTGTTTTTGTGCCCCAACTTTGTGCCATGCTTTGGGGTCAAGCCATGGCCACGCGTACACGTTACGGCGACGGCTAAAGCATTGACCTCGCCAAAAACCGGTTCAAGATCGCCATTCTAGCGCTCGGTTGCCTTCTTTCATAACATACATACTACAAGTATATGTATTTCTGTCTCTTCATTATGCCATCTTCTAAAGAGCATGATAAGTAAAAAATTTCAAGATCTACATATACCTTTAAATATGTATGTATGTATGTCGCTGTAGACGAATATCAATGCTACCTACGATGATGGCTCAAGCCAGTTCCAATGGGAAAATCTATTTTGTTTTTAGATTAAAAAAAAAAAAATCCCACAACTAAATTAAAATCCATGACATATGTATGTACGTCATCCTGGTAAAAATTCTTTGTGAAGCCAACATAGATGAATCCAAGTAGAAATTAACAAGCACGCATAGTTATCAAAAAATATAACTAAATTCGGCCAAAGTATTATAACTGTTTAATTTGTTTGCACAGTTGTTCTTGGCGCTCTAAAATGTACATACACCCATAGTATATTGTTTTGGCCTCCGTTTGCGTCGGCATTTGTTCACATTTTTTTCTTTCCAACCACATTCTATAAAATGTGGTACTCTATATAAGAAGATATATAAGTATTGAATGGTTTAGCGGAACCCAAGTTCTGCACTTTATTTACACAGTTTGCGAGAGAATTTTGTATTTGGGGCCGTTTTCTGATATCGCAGGCAACTTAATATACATAGTTCATGCAGAGCTGATTTTTACTAAGCAGCTGTACGTAAGTATTACGTATACCTCATCAGAAAATTACCCTTAATAACATAAGCATGGTGCACAGCCCAAAAAGGTGTTATCTCATAATAAAATGAGCTATAAAAAGAATTTTTGGTACCAATTTGTGGGCCAAATTATTGTTTATAATGGGAAATTGCATTTTTTGAGACCGCTGCCGTATTATTATTTTTTGAGCTGTGTAACCAGCTAGCTTATAAACTAAACAGCAAAGTGTTCCATAGAATGCTATGGAAGGAGCTTAAAATAGAAGTAGGGGGAGGTCAAGTGTTGGGAACTAGCAAAACGGTTACAATTTTATTATATAATTTTTTCGTTTCTAAATTTGGCAAATTGTGTTCTTTTCAAATCAGTTTTGTCATAGTTCTCCCCAAAGTTTCTGTTTAGATATTGGATGCAAAAACTAGTTAGCTGAAGCCAGGCAAGACTGCTAGGGAATATAATTGAAGACTTGCCTCTTCTCTGTTCTTGTACGGCTTTCATGAATAGCCTTGAACTATCCTCATTGTAACCTATCAGGATACCTTGATTTCAAAGCTCCAATAACTGGATTACACTTATTGCAGACAATCGGTTAGCACCCGGGCCTTTATCTCAAACAGACACAAGAGATTTGATGTTCTCTCAGCGAAATCTCTTTAGTATTTATGCAAGCTTATGTTTTTGTACTTTCTCAATTATTTCTAGGCTAGAAACTGACTCTGGGAAAGTCTTGAATTACTGTTGAATTTCTCCTCATGTGTAAAACATTCTCAAGAGCGATGTGTGACTGGCTAATACTTTAAATGATCTGATATTTAATAAATGAAATAAATTTGGATTATATACTTAAAAAATATATCAAAAAGCCACCGCATTCCCTCTCTCCGTTGTACCCTGTTTCCCGGCTTTAAAATGTTGACCCCCCCTTACGCATTTTTCTAAATTAATTCTTATACTCTAGTCAATAATGTACTTAGACTCGACCTCGAGATCATCGGCGTCGAGCAGGTCATAGGGTCCCTTATTATCGGAGACAATATGCTGCTCTAGCTCGACATCTTGATACTCGTCATCGTTGAGCTCGCCTTCATCCTCATCCTCTTCGTCCACTTCGTTGAACATGAAATCATTGGTTACTATACACTCCTCCAGTACTTTTGCCTCCTCGACTATACCATTGGCGACGGCGGCGGAGACATTGATCGCACGAAGGCCGCCCACACTGATGCCGACGCTAACATTATCGTCCTCATCATCATCTGCATCTGCTTCCTCGTCCTCTTCATCTTCATATTGCACTACACCTTCATCATCAGCATCTTCCAGAGCTTCTAAATGTCGATCATATTTGTGTGTCGTCGTCGTCGTCGTCATCGTCGACGCTGCTGTGGTTACGATTGTTGTCGTATTCGCTTCCGATCGCTTACCTTTGTGCGATATGCGATGCTGTGACATATGCGTGATCAGATAGATCTTTTTCGTAAATCCTTTCTCGCAGAGTGTGCATTGGAATTGTTTCTTGCCGGTATGCGTGCGCTTGTGCACGGAGAGCACATGTGCATAAGCGAATCCTTTCTTGCACACATCACACACATACGGACGCTCGCCTGTGTGAATTCTTTCGTGCTTTTTGCTGGAACCGAAATCGGAAAAGCGGCGATCACAGTAGCTACACCCATATGGCTTCTGGCCAGTGTGGACGCGCATGTGTCGCCGTAGTTCCACATTGGAGATGAATGCCTTTTGACACACCTCACAGCAGAAGGGACGTTCGTTATTGTGGCGTCGCATGTGCGCGTTGAGGGCATGTTGATACTTGTACGTGTTTCCGCATATGTCGCAGATCTTGAGCGGCCGCTCGGTACCCCTCCGATTGCGGGAAGAATCGTTGGCGGAGTTGATTGAACTGTTTAGGGGCTCGCTAAAGGCGGCCGTGGTTATGGCTACGGTGGTTATGTTTCCGCGTGTACGTCGAGCACTACGCCGCGTCATGGGCGAATTCACTGGCTCATTGTCATCGTCTGTGTGTGCTTCACAGCGACGTCCTCGAATAGGTGACATGCGATTGTAACGCCTGCGCTTGGCTAAAACAATGGATGTCTGTGCGGGTACCGGAGCAGGAGCTGCAGCATTGGTAATGATAGGCGCGGAATTGGTGGTGGGGGAGTCGGCACATGACTTGCTCAGCTCCTTAAACTCTAGCGCGCCATCAGAATCTTCCAGAAGCTCCGCCTCGATCTCATAGAGCACCTGCTGCTGCTGTTCATCGTTGGACTGCTTGACATCTTCGGTTTGCGGCAGCAGCGTTTCCAACTGCGGCCGCCACGAGGCGGGCAACACCAACATTTTCTCATCCTCCGAGTCACGCTCATCGTGATTGTCAGAGCTGTCATCCTTAGTGGGTACGTCAATGCTGTCTAATGAGAGTGTAGTCAGACTGCTGACTGCCACATCCTGCAGAGTGACCAACGTACGGTCGCCATCCGTGGCATCCGGTATGAGTGTTAACATATCCGTCTCCTCATTGTAATACTCTACTTTTGGTGCTGCCGTCTGTGTCAGCAACAGAGAATTGGTCGCACTAGCACTTACATTGTCCACACGTTTAATATTCAAGTTCGCTGGCAATTTGACTTGGTGTTGCGCCAACTCCAGCTTGGCCAATTCATCCACCTCTACGAGCTGTGTGGCACTGGAAGCCGCCAGCTTCTGGAACACTTTATGTGCCTCCTGGCACTTTTGCTGGAAGCGATATGTGATGCTCAGTTCGTTGCGACATCCGTGGCAGATTTTGTCCGGTAGACGGCCGAGCAACGATTGCTCCAATTGCAGAGCGCTGCAGTTTCGTATTTTGTCGACTATCAGCATGTCCGGTGTTTCCAAATCCTGGCCATAGATGGAACAGTAACCTGGCTCTTCGCGCAGGCACACAAGGCAGACAACGCCCAGGTCGAGCAGCTGTGTGTCCATCTTTAGGAGCGGACTGTTGAAGGACGCTCTCAGGCTCAATTTAGTGTATACGCTGGCTTCTTTGAGCGAACATAGCCCGTAATTTTTTGATTCAATACGCTGCTCTAAAACTTGAGTACACTTTGATTTTGGTGTCTTTTTTGTGCGTGCTGTGCATTTGTTGTTGTCATTTGGGGCTGTCTAAACGTGCAGTTTGCTTGTTGTGCTTGAACGTGCATCTCAGCTGTTGTCGCGCCGCTTATATCGATTTCGAAAGACTATCGAATGTTTTTCTGCAAAGCTACCTGAGAGGCACAATTCAAAGTTGTCAACGGGCTCGGGGCATAGAAATAGTTATTCGACGTTAGGCCAATTTGGTGTGTTGAATTACTAAGAATATAAACATTTTTCAGCCTAATTATTGTCGGCTGAACAAACGCGTTTTTTTCTGAAGCTATTATCGGGCAATTAGAAAAAAACATACTCGCGGAACATTAACATTATAGACACGACGCACAGTTTTGTTTGTTTATTATTTTTTTGCAAGGTTTCCAAATTTAACAGTTATTGGTGCATAATTAAGTTGTTTAAACGTAAATAAAACTTGTGCCATGTCGCACAATCCGATAACACAGTTAACCCAGCAGCTGTTCGACTTTTTTACCATTGCCGGTGACGATATTATTGAATGGCCATGTAAACGTTTCCAGCGATGTGGCGATCTAGTGCGCTACAACAGTGATAATCTTGGAATTCAGGGCGATATAAGTATTGCGGCCGATGGCAAGAATTGGTTTAAATATTGTAATAACCGTGGGCTCATATTGCGCTCTGAATCGGACGCATTGCTTCTGGATGAAAGCGCCATTGCTGAGCTGGTCAAGCAGGCAGAAAACTGGTTGTTCCCTTTGGCCAAGCAACCAGAACTGCGGAAGGATCGCTACACGCTTCGTCTGCAGCGTCGTCCACTCATTGCCTACGTGATTAATGCCGTCCTAAAGACGGGCGAACACGAACGCTATGGCGAACAATGCAAGCACGACAAATCGCCGACACTCTGTCTGGAGCTGGTCAACGGGGGTAATGAGAACGAGCTGCGTCATTATCGCACACGCCAGTTGCACGACATTATCCGCCGTTTGTTGGTCTATTCCAAGTGGCGTGTGGTGGCGCCAAAGGATAAGAATGTTAACACATTGTGCGTACACGTACAGAGCGCGTGCCAAACGAATCTGATGCCACAATCACGACGGCCGCTGGATGTTCGCGTTCTAAGCGGTGTGGTTTTGGAGCCGCACAAGAAATCTGCCACAACTATGACTACATCCAATTACTTGGCGTACGTATGGCGTTTCTCCTTCTCCCTCCCCCTTACTGCTTTCTAAACAACTATATACTGCTGGCTCTTTCAGTTTGCGCTCTAATGACATGCTTCTGATGGCCATGCATCGCCATGGGCTTCGCGATTGTACCAAGGATCGTAACTATGATGAACTATTGCAGCGTTTGGGCGCCGCTGCAGTCATAGTTGATCTCTTCGAGGTGCGTCACTCTAGTCCGGCGACAGTGGTGCGTTCTGGATTGGGTTGTTCCAAGGGCGCTCCCTATATGCTTTATAATTCAGCGCGACTGGAGACATTGCTGCGCACCTTCAACGAAAAGGTGGAGGCCGGCGTTTACGATCCCTTGCCGCCATTTGATCAGATTGATTTCAGTGCGTTAGAGGAAGAGGTGGGACTATTAGCCGCTTGTTTTCTGATTTGCTATTAATATGATTATTAACCCATTTTAGCTTGATTGGCAGCTTATTTATGGCTATTTGCTGACTTTTCCCGAACTGATTGAGGCATCTTTGGATCAGCTAAAGCAGGGCCAGTGTGCTGTCCACTTGATCGTGCGTTACATTTTCAGCCTCACCAGTCTCTTCAGTCGCTATTATCGCCATAAGCAAATTCTAGTACAGCAGCGCCCACATCTGATGTACATACTATATGCACGCATCTATTTAATCAAGGCTGTGCGTCAGGTGCTCAACGATGCATTGGCCCTGCTCGGCATATTGCCCGTGGATTACATGTAGATGCCATATGTACATATAATACAAGTATAGTGTATCAACACATCCTACCAAAAATGTGTACATCAAAAGCTCTGTATTTGTCCAAAGTAAATGCTTTTCAAAATCATTTTCGGCGGATACAGCTTCACATCATTTAATTAAAATATTATATTAAGTATGTATGTATATAGATGTAAAACTAACAACAATTTTAAGTCTTAAATATACATAATTATTAAGCTTGGCTTAAACAATGTAAATTTGGCAATACACGCTTCAAATAATTCGGCACACGCGCGCAACAAACACTTCATATATTATCGCACATATCTTAACTTACACGCTCTAGAGATAGCTCGGGCTAACATTTTCAATGCCGGCGTATTTTTATAAACTATTCACTATTTTAATACAATTTGCAAATTATCACTTGATCGGGACCCAAGAGCTATACATACATATATTAGTAGTATATATTATTGAATATCTTTCAGCTCCGCTTATGATAAAATTTACATTTTGGGGACTTCCTTGAAATTTTTAAATTACATAGGAGTATCCGAGTGGAATAGGATATATAGCGGTATGACCGCATAAAGCTCGCATATAGACTATCTCACTTATGATCAAAAACTTCAATTCACGCTTCATTGAAAATGAATTAAATGTTATAATAACTTAAGGCGAACTGTGACTGGGAACTTCAGTCTAAAAAACAAAGAATACTTAACGGATCGATATATTTTAGGAGTTACGAGCTGAAAACATTTGCCAGATTTGGAAATCCCTTGTTTAATTCTTTAGGCTAGAAACAGCTTAAAGCAAGGTTTGCTTTTCTTAATACAAGTATGTATGTAGTGTAAAAAAAAAATAATGGACATTTACACGAGTGCCGTATATAGAAAAAATGTTACAACTATCAAATTGCATAGTCCTTGTTGGATCCCTGCTGTGCTACAAATTTGAATTCATGGCGCTAGGACAAATCTGCATAGATTTTCTCATTTCATGTTTCATTCAATTGTAGAGAGGTCCGGGGAAGCACATATTCCACCCTTGTCTATCTCAAGAGATTTGTGTGCCCATCTCCCTTACACACAATAAGTAGCTAACTCACTCACACATAGGAAACCTTTAACATAATACTTTCGGAACTAGGAATACACAAGGCATTGTTGATTGCCGTTATCACCTCGTCTGCCGCTGTCTATTGAACTCGGCTATGAACTCGATATTGTCGCGATTCTGATAGAACAGCTGCTCCATTAGTCGCGTACTGCCCAGCGAATTGGCCTTGGTGCCCAAGCACATGTTGTACTGGGTGGCCTCGAGCTGGATATCGCAGGTAATATCGTGATAGATGTGCACCAGCGTCGGATCGGGCGCCCGGAAGATGGTCAGGCGACGCATCTGTTCGGCAGCTTCATTATAGCCTATCGGGACCTCTGCCGTGTTGACCAGGAAGCTGCGCTGGCGCGTGCCCATGCGCACAATCTTCTCCAAAAACTTCACATCCTCCAGACCCCAGCCGGTGATGTCCTTGTCGAAGCCATTGATGTCCTCATCCAGAATGTCCGACTTGTAAATTGCGCAAATGCCGAACCCGAACTGTCGAAAGTAGCCGGACTCGTCATCAATAATCGGCTGTGTGGAGGTGGATCCAGTTCCAGTTCCAGTTCCCTCTCGACGCTTCGGGTCGTATTGACTGAATACGATGGGTAAATAGACCTGTCGGCCCTTCTGTGTGTTCATTCTCACACGCTGTAACGTTTCCACCTGAAAGATCATGTCCACATCTATGAACAGTATAATGTCCTGCTCCTCAATATAGGAGGAGCGTGCGGCAATGTCTAGAGCTACGCCCCGGGAAAATTCCGCATTCCTCTGTATCCAATTGATCTGTTGGTATACGTGGCGCATGCGCAACTGCAATAGCAGCTGGATATGTGGACCCAGCTCTTCGGGTGCTCCAAAGATAACGACGAGCAGATCGCAGTGCTGGTCAGCAACAATGCAGACGCTCTCGTAGGTGAGCAGGAAGCGTTCGAAGGTGGCCAAACGGCCAGCTATGGGCAGCACTAGCACTATCTTATCTGTGGTGGTGGGCGCCAGGTAGCTGGGCATGGTGAAATGGCTGCTCAAGCGTGCCATGCTCCGGTGAAGTAAGCTGCCAATCAAACCTGCAAGCGGGAGAGAGAGAGAGAGAAATTGGAGTTCAAATATATTTCTTGAATGTACGAGTCCAACTTACTTTGCTGGGTAACATTGTAGAAATCCTCATCGAATTCCTTTATAAAGATGCCTGTGAAGGCACGTTGGACGTAAAGATGCCTTCGTACCGGCACTGTCATCTTCTTGCCGCGATATTTTTTATAAATCAGCAACAGATCGAGTATGAGATCCTGGCCATGTAATGCGTCCAGTCGCTGGTACCCATAGAGTAGTTCCCGGAACTCAATAATGCGTCCGCGCTGACGTGAATAATTGTTGATGTTCTCCATAACCTCGGTAATCACGTCCTCGAGACCCTCCCGCATGGCCGAGTCGATCTTCTGCTTCGGATTGGCACCCTCCACTGAGTATATACTGCGCGCAATAAAGGCCCAATCCAGCAAATCGGAAGTGCTTTGGGGCACAAATTTATTCAGCTCGGGGCTTATGCCTGATTGGAGAATGTTCAAAAGATTGCCATGTTAATGAATGAGTATGTAAATTGTCTTACTTATGTATCTAGACCGACTTCGAAAAGAATTAGACCCTACGGGAGGTCGGACTGGACAGATAGATACTCCGTATCCAGCTGTTTTCGCCCATAACTGAAGCAGTAGTCACGACTTTAACTTCATTTTGATTTTAGCTTTGGCACATTTTTTGCCTTTTCAAATCCGGAATCCTCAGGAAAGTATTTGCCGGTCCCCCAGAAATGCGCAACTACATATTACTGGGACTAATCATCCACCTCTGGCTTCTGCGGCTCTTGTGTAGCGCAGCAGAGTTCGACACTCCGGACGAGCGCACTGCCAGCTATTGGATGAAGCAGGCACAGCAACAACTGGCGGAGCGTCTGGCACGTACGCGTCATCTGACTGACAACCGTGTGGCCAAAAACATAGTCTTCCTGCTCGGCGATGGACTCTCCATAACCACAGTGACGGCAGCACGCATTCTCAAGGGCCAGCGGATGGGACACAGCGGTGAAGAAAGTCGTTTAGCCGTCGAGAATTTTACCTACGCCGGATTGAGTAAAGTGAGTGAGAAACCTTCTTTCTATGGAAATATTTTGACCAAAAATTGATTGGCTTAACTAAAAAATAGGCGGTTTTGCTTAGACCTCTCTTTAAGGTGCGTTGCACATAAAGAAACAAACTCTTGGATTCAAAATGAATTTAAGATTAAAAGAAGTAATGAGACCGCAATTCTTCCCCCAACATGAAAGGAGTGTTAGCCCCAACTCCTAAGTATCCTTTACCCAATTCCACAAAATAAACCATTTATATGTACACATGGGCTTTTCCAGAGTGTCAAACCGGACTCTAATAGCTCTCTGGGAGCACTATGTATATGTATTTAGTGGTAAGGTTGATTTCAGACTTAATCCTGGTTTCAAAGTAAAGGCTCAATGAAATTGTTTCGAACATGACAAAAATCGGAAGTGTTCGTCTATAAGAAAGCAAAACCTGCCAACATTTTTAATGCGACTATTTTGAAAATGTTATGGAATACCATTTGGTGTTATCCAAAGTTTTTTATTTGTTTTTTTTTTTTCGTAAATGTTAAAGTATTTCGATCGTGACATACATACGAATATTTTATTCATGTTATATTTTTGCAATTAAGCTTTATTTATGAACAACAAATACATTTGATATTTATTATTGTTGAATTATAATAGGAAGATGAATTTAAAAATAGCAAATATGAAGCGATAGAGCACATATTTTTATTTCTTCTTCTAAAAGAATGTGCAGTTATTAGAATTTCTTTAACTTTCTAACTTTCAAATTTTTTTAAAATTTTTAAATTGTTGTACGCATACATAGGTAGAGAGTGTTTCAAAGTCGGGGCATTTTACATTTCTGTTTAAAATTTGTTCCATATTTTTGAATTAAGCTTGTTGTATGAACAACATTTTACATTTATTATTGTTGAATTATAATAGGGAGATAAAATTGGAACCGATATTATGACTATGTTTAAATTTTTTTTAAATTGTTTTTTTTTTTTTTTTGTAAAAAGAGTTAATTTTTTTCTCAATTTTGTTTTTTAAATTTTGTAACATTTTGTACAAGCATAGGTACAGAGTATTTCCAAGTCGGGGACTTTCCACTTGCTATTTTTGTCTTCTCTTGTCTGTGTATACCCGATATGATGCATTATCGCTCCTTTTCGTACATTTTACATTTCTTGTTCAAATTTCTACTATATTTTCGCAATTAATCTTTATTTATGAACAACAAATGCATTTTGTATTTATTATTTTTGAATTATAATAGGGAGATACATTAAAAAAAAATAATTGGAATCGATAGTGACTATGTTTATAAATTTTTTTTTTTTAAAAGAGTTAATTTTTTTTCGCAATTTTCTTAATTTTGTATAAGCATAGGTACCGAGTATTTTGTAATTCGGGGCACTGGACTCTTTCACTTGCAATGTTTGTCTTCTGTTATCTGTGCATAACCAATGCGATTATCGCTCCCTTCCGTAAATTTTAAATTTCTGGTTCAAATGTGTACTATATTTGAGGATTTCTTAGAAATATGAAACTAATATTGCAAATATTACCCAGACCTATTGCACGGACAGCCAGACCGCGGACTCTGCCTGCACGGCGACAGCTTATATGTCTGGCGTGAAGACCAATATGGGGGCCATCGGACAGAGTGCCTCGGGTGAGCATGTGGAGCCCATAACATTGTGGGCCCAGCGAGCGGGCAAGGCTACAGGTATTGTGACCACGACAAGACTGACGCATGCCAGTCCCGCTGGCGCCTATGCGCATGTGCCTCGACGCTCCCAGGAGTTGGATATAGCACGGCAATTGCTAGAGCAGGAGCCGGGACGTCAATTTCACGTCATACTTGGCGGCGGACTGGGAAAGTTTGCCAGTGAGCGCAGCGATGGACGCAATCTTATCCAGCAATGGCACGACGCTCATCCGGGTGGCTGCTTTGTGCGGTCGCTCAGCGAGCTGCAGGCGTGCCGTGTCGGAAATGGAAGCGTGCTGGGTGTATTTAACGATAATCACATGGCCTACCATCTGGCAGCTCCTAAGGATCAGCCAAGACTATGCGATATGACGAAGGCAGCTATTGAGCATCTGTCGGCGGCCAGCCCGAACGGTTATTATGTGTTCATCGAGGGCGGTCGCATCGATCATGGCCATCATGAGACGCGCGCCGGCTATGCCCTGGATGAGACGCTGGAGTTCGATGCAGCCGTCGAGACAGCTGCGCGTTTGACGGACGAGCAGGACACGCTTATTGTGGCCACCTCCGACCACTCGCACACTTTGAGCTTGGCCGGCTACGCTAAGCGTGGAACATCGATTTTGGGTCAGGATGACAGCAATCGCGATACGAATGGAGTGCCATATAGTATCTTGAACTATGCCGTTGGCAAGTGGCAGAGTCTGAACAAGGCTGGCAAGCGCGAGAATCCAGGACCACATCTTCGAGAGAGTGAGCCAATTGTTCTTTCCATTTCCTTGCAGTCTTCGAATGCTAATCTCTATTCATCTCAGCCTCATTTACGCCGAGCTACATTCGCGGAAAGACTGGCGTACATGCTGGCGAGGATGTTGCGGTATTTGCTCAGGGTCCGCAAGCCCATCTCTTCAGCGGCATTATGGAACAGAATTTGCTGCCCCATTTGATGAGCTATGCGGCATGTCTGGGCGATGGAACTACTGTGTGCCAGAAGCAACGAAGAGAACAGCTTTCATTGAATGCGACGGCAGAGAATCCGAACAAAACCTCAAAACTAGTGCCCGCAGGTGCCTAGTCTTTAAATCGGCTTTATTTCTTTTTATAACTTTTGAATTTTGCGGCACATGCGCCAAATAAATTGATGTTAATGTTTATGAGCAATCTAAAATATTGAGTTACTTTCAACGAATTCGTATCGATAAAGAAGGTCATACTACCTTAATACACGAGCAACTGGGAAATATCCCATATAGCTCACCCAATATATTGTGTTATTTCAACGAAATTATCTTGATAAAGTACGCCTTTTTTCACACTGCTTCGATATACGGGCAACTGGGAATTTCCAATATAATTCACCAATTAAGTTATATTCAACTGAAACTACTGGGAAATATCACATATAAATCACGCAATATATTGTGATATCATTGAGTTATTTTCAACGAAATTTAGCTGATCAAGTACGTCTTTTTCTTTCCATAATACTTTAATATACGAGCAACTGGGAAATTTCTAATATAACTCACCCAAATTGTTGTGATATTGAAATATTTTCGATGAATTTCTAGATAAAGCACGTCTTTTTCTTTCCACTACTATATAATTCACCCAATATTCTGTGAGTTATATTGAGTTATATTCCACGAAATTATCTAGATAAAGTACATCTGTTTTTTCCACACTGCTTCAATATACGAGCAACTGGGAAATATCCCATATAACTCATCCAATATATTGTGATATTATTGAGTTATAATATTCAACGAAATTCTCTCGATAAAGCACGCATTTTTTATACTGGGCAATATAAATCACAAATCATAAAGCACACTTTTTTCCACACTGTTTCAATACAAGTATATGGGCAACTGGGAAATATCCAATATAACTCACCCAATATATTGGGATATTATTGAGTTATAGTATTCAACGAAGTTGTCTTGATAAAGCACGCCTTTTTTCATACTGGGAAATATCACATATATATCCCCCAATCTATTGTGATATCATTGAGTTATTTTCAACGAAACTGTCTTAATAAAGCACACATTATTTTCCACACTCTTTCCATATACGGGCAACTGGGAAATATCTCATATGACTTACCCAATATATTGGGATATTATTGAGATATAGTATTCAAGGAAAATGTCTTGATAAAGTACGCCTTTTTTCATACTATGAAATATAAATCACCCACTATATTGTGATATTATTGACACACACAATATTTTCCACACTCTTTCAATATACGGGCAACTGGGAAATATCCCATATGACTTACCCAATATATTGTGGTCCTCAAAGTGGCGCTTGCGATTGTCGCTCTGTGCGGTGGCACTGGCTGGCCTCATGCTGGGTAGCATGAAGGTGCTCTCGTCGGGAACTTCCAAGTACTTAGCCATGCGTTTGATATCACGGTGTAGCTGCAACGACTCTTGACGTAGCTCCTCCGCCTTGAGACCCTAAAATAAATATTTTTATATATGTTGCTCGGACTGTACTTTAAGCAGATTACTCCAGATTACTCACCTGTATGTAGGAATGAAGGCGATACATGAGCGGTGCCTGCTTGATAGGATGCAGGGTGATGGCATTATGGATCTCCTTGCGCTTTAGCTTCCCCGTATAGGCGTTTCGACCACTTGAGTTGTGGCGAAGAATGTATTGCATCTGAACAGAAAGCAGAGCCAAAAAATAATGATTAAAGGAGTCTGCAATAAACTAGTTTCAAATGAAAGGAGAAGACTGTGGAACCACAGCAGGAGTGAGCAATAATGAGACTTGAAACGATGACAGAGATGAAGAATACAGTTTTTAAAGAAAGTGGTGAAAGGAAAGGAAAGGAAAGAGAGAAAGAGTTTCTCCCCCACCTCATAGTTCCATGTGCACGGTATGCCAGCAAATTTTTGCACACAACGCCCCACCTCGACATCCTCGTGTGTGCTATAGAGATTTTTCAAACAGGTCGGAATATGAGGCGCCACTGCAGAAATATCAAAATGAACAATAGACTTTTAATTTATTTTTAAATTCCAAACACTTACCACGACGCAGTGTCTCGCTACTTAAAATAACGCCCGGTCCACCCATGCAAAAGTTCTCGTCAAACTCCAATGACAACAGTCCGAATTCCTCGGTATTTCCCTTGCCCGCCTGTCCTATAAACTGTGGCTTCGAACTATCTATCGAGCGCAAAAAACGCTCCAATTTGTCAGGCTCTATATATACATCGTCGTCGGCGCGTATGAACCATTCGAAGCGATCGATAAAGTGCTCGTACATATAGTAGAGCATCATAAATGATTTCTTTTGTGGCGGATATCGATCGTCCACATTCTTTAGACCCACCACTGGCAACTCGTCCGAGAAGCTGCCCTCAGAGCTGAAGAACGCAATACGCCCGGGAACCTCTTTCCCCCAGGTATCGTATACGGCACGAGCACGTCCCTCAATGAAATTCTTGGCTGTCATCACACCCACAAACACCAAATTATGCTGAGAGTTCTGTATTGTGTCCTCGTCGTCCAGGCCAATGATCTCATGGGGCGTCTTTAGGTTTGTGGGCCTCAGGCTACACCGTTTCACAATTTCCAATGTGCGATAGTTCTTAAGGACTGTGCCGATGCAGAGGCCAAGTGCAATGCCAAAGAAGGCCATTATCAATGTCTTGCGCTTCGTCATCGTGTGTTGGATCATTTTTGATGCTTTCCACTGAAAGTCATGGATGGCTGCTGCAGGAGAAATGGGGGGCGAGAGACAAATATGGGATTAATTTGATTGCAATTTGTTAGATGGCACGTGGCTGCCCCTACAACTACTTATTGTATATAGTACAAGTATGTACTCGTACATGCTACTCATTCAAAGCTCTAACAAATTACTGACGCGTGGTTCACCTATTTGGTGAATTACTTGTAGATCTCCCCTACTCTATTCTGCAAACCATTGCTCTGCCAGCTCACATATTGTTTTGTATAGTATGTGTGTATATACATAGGTTTGTTTTCGCACAAATTTCAGTTTGGCGTTGCTAATTTTATGTTCGCATCAGATGTTTGGTTTCCATGTTTGTTAAGTTTATTATCCGTATGGTCCGTATGGTTTCTTCTTGGAACTGTGTTTTCATAGTTTACTCTATTTACCCGAATATACTCGTACATACATACATATGTATATGTACATATTTATAAACACACAAGAATGTGAAAACCATCGCACGTTGGGCACTTAGAATTCCATTAATGTATCTGTGTGTGTGTGCTTGTAAGTGTGTGTGTGTGTGTGTGAGTACACACTTTAGAAACAGCTTGGCGCGCACTTGAGTTGCACATTAGATGCGCATACGCCCAAGAAAGCAGCAAACCCACATAAATGACTATACGAAAACAGTCAGTAATGGCTTCATTGGACTGCTCTTCATACCATTCGGATAGTTGCTTTACAAAAATATCTTCAAGGGGATCATCTAATTCTGTTTTAACACGTCAGATTGGTTCCAGAAAAAAGAGTGTAAAAAAAACGTGTAAAACAGACATTGATCAAGTGCAAAAATACTTGTAGGTGATTGGTTCCTTATCTCTAAAACCTATTAAAGTCAGTGAAAAAATAAGGATTTTTGTTTATTTTATTTAATCACATATATAATGTGCATAACGACCCATATAAGAATGGTTTCTAGCTGTTTCTCAGCTGTGTGTGTTTCTATTTATTTATTTTGTGCTATTTTGAATCGTGCTAAATGGAATTAAGTCGAGTAACCATTAATCAAATTTAGCTCTCATAATAGTAGAGGGTAACAAATGGATGTAATGCTTAGCTACCAGAATTATAGGGAGCTGGCAAGAGCGAAAGGGAACTCTATTTGCTAGCTAGAGAGACCTAAAAAGAGACAAAAGAATGTAACAAATCAGCCGGAGATCTGTTAGTCCTTAAAACACTGGCACCTTCAAGGCAATAGACGATCAGACGAGTGCTGTCAAGATCCAATAAAGATACAGACTTCAGGTTTCGTGAGGCAGCAAATAGAATTCCATTAGAATGGAACAGATAACAATACACTTAATTCTGTTTTTACACGGCAGATTGGTTCCAGAAACAACCGTTTAAAAAAAGACATTGATCATATGCAAAAATATGTGATTTGTTCCTTATCTCTAAATAAATGTATATGAAATTATTAATTTTCAAACCGTGTTATATCAAAATCGGGTAAAAAAATACCGTGTAAAAACAGAATTAGGTGTATACTAAAGGCATTACTGATTGGTGCAACGTTTTCAGAAATGCTTCAAAATCAGCGTAGACGGATCGCTTTATAAAATAATATACTACTTATACTTATAAATCCATAAGATTATTGCAAGTTTCTTACTTATTATTAGTACTTTTTATACCCTGTACCCGTAGGGTAAAAAGGGTATATTAGGTTTGTGCAAAGTATGTAACATGCAGAAGGAAGCATCTCCGACCCCATAAAGTATATATATTCTGAATCAGCATGAAGAGAGAAATCATTCTAGACATGTCCGTCCGTCCGTCTGTCTGTCCGTCTGGATCTCAGAAACTATAAAAGCTAGAATAACTAAAGTTGGCATTCAGATTCTCCTAGGTCCGAGAAAGGACGAGTTTATTTTATTTTTTTTAATTTTCCCCCCTTCCATCGCTACAGAATTTCGTCAACAGCGTCGACATTTCAAATGCTACCTGAACCAAACTTTGCACACATAATTTATATATAATTATCTACTGTTGTTTAACATTTTGTCAATTCTAAGAAAAGTTATTAGCGAAACAAATTCTCGCCAGTACAACCCCCACAAACTGCAGCAACAAGTTCGCTCTTCTTCTTCCTCTTTTTGCTGCTGCTTTGGGCGCATATAACTCAGTGACGGAAGTTTACCTGGGTACAGGGCATTACACTGTCGGGCTTGCTCGACTGTAGCGTTCTCTCTTGTTTTTTATTATAGCTTACTTATTATAGTAAAATCAGGGCAAGTTGATGGCTTGTATTTGAAAATAATTGGGGCTTCTATCTTTCAAGATAATTTCCTACAGCTGGTATTAGAGATTTTTCCCCTTTACATTGTAGCGATGCTTGTCTGTACTTACGACACTCAAGCTGCAGCAATTGATGCCCAGCTTAGCTGTGATTGAAAATAAACTACAATGGGAAGGCGACGAAGGCGCTCGGCTAAGTTTAGGAAACTCACTTAGTGCAGCCGTAAATTGAAATGGGCGAGCGGTAACTGACAAAACTATATGTACATACATATATACCTACTATTACTATATATATGTATATGTATACATATGATTATATCGGCAATACCTCAGAGACAAGAGCAAGGTGGATAAAAAGAAGAACAGAAAAAAATGAGAAAATGCTTTTCAAACAAACAGAGAACGAATCATCGGCACCGGCACAGGCACCGCACATGAATGCTAATTAAATAAACAAACAGTTCAGAAAACTACTATTTGATGTTGAAATCAAAGGCCATCCCACCGACACATCAGCCACTGTCCGCTCCTCCGCCCTCAACCGTCCGACCGACCTTGCGACAGGTGCCTAACTGGAGCAGCGATGAGTTTCGTCAGCCATCGGAAATGGTGGCATGATTTCAAAGATTGCTTACTGCATGTGCTCTCACTCTCCCTCTCTCTCCCCCCTTTCCCGCTCTCTCTCTTTCTCTCTCTCTCTCTTTCTCTCTCTCTCTCTTTCTCTCTCTCTCTCTCTCTCTCCCTCTTCCTATCTATTTCGCTGTCTGCAAATCTATCTTGCTCTCTGCGTCTCCCTCTGCCTATCTTAAAGGCTGATTCACCTGTGTGCCACATACTCGGACAGGTGTTAACGTTTTTCTATGCGTGTCTGTGTGTGTGGAGTGTTTATGTGTGCGTGTAGGCGACCTCAGCGGTCAACGATTTGTTTAATATATTCATTATGCAACTGCCACTGCTGCTGCTGCTGCTGGCTGCCTGTTTATATCCGATAATGATTCAGTTCCCATTTTGTTTATGAACTGTGGATTTATAATGAAGCATTGGCACTTGTTGAACGTACACCCATTCACACATACATAAAACTATCTACATACATATGTATGTATGTATGTATGTATGTATATACTTATGTAGCTCTTATGTGTGTTTCGGTTGTAGTTATAAGATTAGATGCTTGCCGAGCTTTTGGCTTACCTTCTGATTTGTGATACTATTTTTGTATTATGTATTGTATTTTTATAAATTTGATAAAGCCTTTTAATTACTTCGCAGCCCATTTGTCCGAATTTAAAACCAATGATTTATTTTGTATGGGAAAACTGTTAGCATTAAGTTGCCAACCAACTAAGAAACTGGTCGATAAAGGAACAAATAAAGACTAGAAATGAAGGCTGAAATATTGTAAATATTGCATTGTATATTTACATAGATTTAAGTGTGTCTTATAGATGTGTACTATGGACAAATCTTGAATTCCCCATTAATTTTCAACTAGCTTAAGCTGCCATATTGGTAGCAGAATACTGGTTTAATAAGCGTATATACATTTTTTAGAAAATATAGGAATAAAGTTTGGCGAGAACTTATATTTTGCAAGTTAAGAGATTTTCATTTGGCCTGAACTCGAAGCAGGGCGTTCCATCAACCGAAAAGCTCTGAAGATCAACTAATTGCCATACATGTGTGCTTGGAATCAGCATTCTGTTGGAAATTGATTTCCCTTTCAAAGCAGAAGGCGTATCCATCAAATCGAAGGTAAATTATAAGCAAGATATATATAGGCAACTAATCATCCAGATATAGTATAGATGAGTAATTTACAATCCTTCACAGAGCATTTTCAAAAAAAGGCAACCCTATAAATGTATATCTATACATACTATATTACAAAATGCAACAAACTATTATGAAAATAATAAAATATCATTCTATTATTTAAATAAATAATAAAAAAACGCACCGCACACACTAGTAAATAAAAAAAAAAATTCAACACAATACCATATTGAAAGCCTGTTCTGTAAAATGAAAATGAGAAAACATTAACATTTGCAATTACTTAAACTATGGAGTAGCAAAAGGAGTCGTGTTGTCCAATTCTAGTATACCAATGGATGTGGATTTAAGAAATACATAGAATTTATAATTAAATGATATTTTAAAAGATTTTGTGCTTACATCTAGGTGGGTTATTGAAAAATTGGTCTTTCGATTCGGAAGTGAGGTTTTAACACCATTTAAATAAAATATTGTGAAGATATTCTAGCCAAATGCCTAGATCACATTGGTTGACCAGTACAGAAATATAGAGAGACATTTTGTGGTCGGGTCGAAAATCGTGCTTATTGATAGAATTGGGTTTTCTTTGTATGTCATGCGGCCATTAAAAACTTATTGACAACGCAGACATGCAATAGAAGAGGCTCGCATTATATATTTATTTATTTACTTATTTATTTTTGTATTTATTTATTTATGTCAACAAACATATGGCTGTCGACATAGGAGGATTATGATCTAACATGGATCGGCATCAATATGTGCACATAAGATTGCGTTGAAAAGATTATGCTTTGAAGAAATGCTACTAATTTTGATGTTTTATTACGAAGTAAAGTCTCTACCAGAGTAAATATCCATCAACGACCTTTACCACATCACTAGATCTCAAGATCTAGACACACCAATTTGTAATATAATAAAATAAATAAAAGTAGTAAGATAAATTATTTGAATGGACCAATTTATAAATTGTTTTGATCGTTCTCAATATTTGAAATAGCGCTACTTTAATTTTGAATGGAACTGTTTTTGAAGCTACAAGTATACAAGTATAAGGCACTGTTAAATAGTGTAGTGATTACACGTGAAAAGTTTCCATGTCTGGGAGTGAAATATAGGATATAGTTTAACAGACAAGCTGTCGTATATATGTATGTAAGTATTTAGGTGGGAAAATTAATTGGTTAAGTTTGTTGTTGGCTTTAAGAACTTTATATGCTCTGGAATACGGCTTGTTGAAGCTTAAGTCCGGGCTATAGTTTAGCATCCATGTATATTTGAGGTACAGTGAAAAAAACAGGGAGGTGGATTGATCTCTCTCTCTCTCTCTCTGTCTGTAAGCCAGAAGGTTTTAGTCGTCTATGCGTATAGGAAAGATGCACAAATCTATTATTTATCTTACAGTCTTTTAGAAATCGTTCGAATATTTGGGCAGATAATTGCACTTAATTCTGTATTTACACGGTTTTGATTTAACACGGTTTGAAAATTAAATATTATATATATTTATTCTATTTGGCACGATTCACGAACGAACGGCACGACTTTTTAGGAACCAATCTACCGTGTAAAAACAGAATTAGGTGTGTTGTACTTGTATTTGTTTTCCATTCACGCGCACACTTGCTTTCTTTACAACAACAACAACAGCAACAACAGCAGCAGTAGGCAGCAGCAGCAGCCGCCAAAAGTATTTAGAGAAGACAAGCCCACCTGTTGCTGCCGGCACACGCAGGTAGTTCGTGTGCATGTGGGTGTGTGTGTGTGTGCGTGTGTGTCTGGTTGTGTGTGTGTGTGTGTGTGTGTGTTGTGTCTCCGCTTAATGCACAGACAGCAGATCGTGCACAATGTGCGTCGATCGTCGCTGGGGGGGAGGTTTAAGGCAGTTTAAGTTTTTTTGTTGGTTGTTGTTGTTGTTGGTTTTTTTTTGCAAAGTCGCATGAAAGCTGAAACGACAACGCCAAGCAATTGTAAACTAAATACGATGGACTACAGCGTAGTCGGACCAGCGGACAGTTGGGCGGACTTAAAGTCGTGTCGCGTTCCGTCGTCGTTAAATTCTTTGTTGTTGTACTACATGTTGTTGTAGTTGGGTTTAGTTCCAATCCGGAGGAAATGTGATGCGCAAAGCGAGACACCGAAAATGTTTTGCACTCAAACAGTTTAATAGAATAATTTGCAACAACAACAACAACAACAACAACAACAACAATAGCAACAACAGAAGAAACAACAAGGGCAACAGCAACAGCAACAACGAGAGCCTGGCGTTGACGGACAAATGTTGACAATTAGGCAAACGAGACAGACGAGTGGCAATTAAAATGCTGGGGCTCAAGCCAACACAGATGCAGATACAATTCAAAGCACACACACACACGTGCGCGCATTTGTTGTCGTTTAATTACCTATTTCTTTCTTTTTTTTCGCAGCTGTAACACTCACACACACGCGCACATAAACACAGGCAAGCTCGCGATAAGTTCACAAAGGTCGCCCCGCAAAAAAAATGTAACAAAAAAAAAAAACGGAAAAAAGCGTATTGCGTGTACTTTTAACTAAAATACTTCAACATTTTCACTTCGAGTCACTCACTGGTTTTATTTTTTCTTGAAGTTTTTATTAAATTGACAATTTTTGGTATTATTATTATGTTTATTAGGTTTTCTGTTTCATTACCAGATCGCTTTGTTCGCCGAACGCACGCGATGTCTGCACGAGCCCACGGATTTGGGCCTGTGCCCGGCGTGGTGTTGATGTGTGTGAGCAAAAGAAAGAACAAACGTCAAAAAACGCTGAATTCCGTTGAAGAACTGATGAGCGATCGAAGAGTCGAGCACCGCATTGTGCCCAGCGCCAGCGCCTTGCCTGCCAACAAGCTTGTTGCGCATGAGCCAGAGAGAGCGACCAATCGGCCAGCCGACCGCCAGACTGACTGTTTGCCGCTTGCACAGTGGGCTGGGGGTGGCCAACGAACTGGTCAAATGTGCGATGCCATATAATTCCCGTTTCTCTCCTTTCTTCCTTGATGGCATTTGATTCTGCCGCCCATCACGGCTTTTTACAATTTTGTTTTGTTTTATATTTGAAAGAATTAGGCTTCTAAATAGCTTCTAGACATAGCCTGAATCCACTACCAGACTTTATGGCATTGAAGAGTTTATTATATTGTATACTTTATTCAGTGGATTTAGTATAAATATTTTAAGAGTGAGGACGTTTTCAGGTCACTTTTAGAAACAAAACAAGAAGTAATGGAACCTCCACTAGTCTTAAAACGGATCGAACTCATAAAGCGTTTCATTGGACGAAGTAGCGTTGTTTTCCCTTAGAAAATGATTTACGGCACTAACTAGTACAGATGGCTTAGATTCTTAGACTGCTTGTTTTAATTTCTTTTAAAACACTGGACTTCAGAATTCATGATCAATTCCATTGAAATCAAAGAATTGGCACGTCTGTCAATAAATTCATAACTTGAATTAAATATATTTTAAACAATACTTATATATGTCTGTATTATTAAAACCAAACTGAAATTGGAAGCAATTGCTTATGAGCTGCAGATGTAAAATATTATAAATTTGTAATCATAACATATCTTTATTATTAAAACAATACTGAAATTAGAAGCAATTGCTTTTGAATTGTTTATGTTAAAAATAATAAATTAGTAATCATTAATGTGGCTCTTGAAACCCACTGTGCAAAAGATGAAGAGAGAGCGCTATCAAATCAGAGAGGTACGCAGCGACACGCACACACGCGTCCACCTTTGCTGAAAGTGTTTCACAGATACGCGCACATGTGTCGCTGTATCTGTGTGCGGACTGTTCGTTGATCTGCGTAGCTGATTAAACGAATGGACGACCAGTTTGTGTTGTTGCTGTTACTGGTGGTGTTGTGCGCTCTTTCCGCTCCCAGCTGTTGCAGTAAACCAAGCCTTTCCTGCCAGCCAGCCGCGGCTCTGAAGGCATGTGGCATGCGGCATGCAAGGCCTTAGCCTGCGAAACACATGTTCACAACTGGCGCATCGCAGTGCTTCGCTCCTTTATTTCTTTAAATGACACTCATTTCTGAGCACATTATTTCAGACGAAATACGAATCAATAAGGGATTCTTCTGCTATCACTTAGCACTTAGCAAAAAAAATATACATACATATATAAATATGTATATATCTTATTGGGATGTCTTTGAAAGAAAGAAATTGTTGCTTAATCGGCAGATATAGGAAAAAGCGGTCCCATTTGATGAGAATTCGTTTATTAATCTATTAAACTGAAAGAGTAGATTGCTGAGAAGCAGGCAGGACCTTTGTAGGGATTTAATAAAAATAGCCCAATCTATGTTTTAACTTTCAAGTGCATTTAATAATGTTTAAGCGCACTGGGAATGTGTGGATGTTCATGAATGAATATCTACCACTGAAATATTAAAAATTTACCAAAAACAACTATGTACTGGTATATTTAACTGAAGATTTTAAATGGGACAATATTGTTTATAGGTTTTTTTCACCCAGTCATAAACATAAATTATTGTTTCGGATGAAAAAAACTAACTTATACCTAAACTCAATCTTATCCAAACCCATCTATAATATAATTAACGTCGAAACGAGCTAAGAAACATTGGGACTAAACTAAGACTGCAACTCACAAAAATTAATATTCTTATAAACTAACGAATAACGGATATGGTTCTTTGATTTGATTGATGGCAATGGGTATTATGGTCACTGCGTTCTATCAAATGTATTATAATAAAATAAGGCGTAAAAGCCATCAGCAAACAGTTTTTAAAAATATTAAAAAGATAATTTCTCATTAAGATATATAGTATACCTATGTATATCATTCGTATGTGGTCGGCTGATTGCTCGACTATGGTCTTAGCTTGCTGAACAAAAATTGCATTATTTTAAATGTACTTTTGATGTACATCCATACGCAAGGTTTGAATCGAAATCGAATGAGCACAAAAATTCACAAAACTTTTGTTAAGAATTACAACATAAGAACCACACAATTGCTTATAATCTTTTAACAGATCGTTTGACTTTGACGTACATATTAAAGGTCCTGAAATATCCTTGCCAGTATTACAAAATCAATTCACAAAAAGTCTTGCAAAGCGGAATAAGCCCCGTTATGGTCAGCTTTCTTAAAATCTGAACCCAAATTCTGCTTGTGTTTTAAACGAATACCAATTCTATTGATCGATCAATCTCAATCGATGCCTCCAATCAAAAGTTCAAAATTGTAATCGTGCTTAGTATTAGTGTAGTATGCTGTCTGGCGTCCATATTGACGTTTCTTGAATTTTAGTTTCATTTCATTTAATTGTATTGAGGTATGATTTTATTTATTACTCCATTTCAAAACTAATTACAAAGGCATCTGCTCATACTTTTAAATCTCTTTGAATCGAGAAATGTCTGTAACTCTGAACCGTAAATATTTCAAATGTTAGCCAATTCATTTACCCTTTTTGAGTTTGAGATCGCTCGAAAGAGTTTGGACACGGGTTGCTGCATTGGCTAATGAGCGACGGGTTGCAGCATCGACTAAAACAATGTAAGGAAAAAAGTGTAGCAGCATTTTAGTATGCGTGCCATTTTTAAGCTTATTTATTTGCTTACAAACTATGTATTCTTAATTTTTATTCCGGCATTTCCATCCTGCTTGTTTTTGTTTTGTGTTAAGTAAAGCTGAGAGACGTAAAGAATTGAATTATGAAACTACTTGTATGCATATAAATGCATAGACAACATGGTAGCTAAAAAAAATATATTTTATAAAATATTTCTAAAGTTTTCTAAAAATGATTTTAAAACCATTATGTTCGACTACGTATGTACATTAAAAATTGATTAAAATTAATATTAATGAGAGAAAAAGATTTGATCCTTAACGTATTTTTGAAAAGTACTATATGTGGTACCTGAATAACATAAATTCTATAAAATAAACAAAAGGGTTGGCAAAAACAATTCCAATTTTCATATATATGTATAAAAATATCATTGAAATTTATATTTATGTCCATGGTAGGTCAATAAATACATTGTAAAAAAAATTAAATACAAAAATTGTGTGGATTTTACAATAAATAAATGTCCTATATATACATACACATGTGTGTTTGCAGGATCAACTAAAAATGAGTAGAACGTTAGAGTCGCGTCTACTCGACTCTTTCATACCCTGTAACCGGCATTTGATCAGCTACAGTCTTTCAACTGAAATAGATTTTAATAATCAATTATTTCCATGGCAGCAATATAAAATAGTACAACAGTAGTATATAAAAAGTCTTTGGCAATAAAATTTACACATCGTTTGTATGACAGCTATATATGTACAGATACCTCTGAAGTATAGTATGTCTTTCAATAAATTTGCGATGCGTATTAACTAATCAAGTCTACATCTCCCTGGTATCCCTAGCTGTTATGGCGTACCAGCTGTTTATTGTATCTATGTAGCTGCCAGATATGAGTAAAAAATTCCCTGAAACTCAGGAAAACAAATCATTAATAGCGGGGAGAGGGGGGTGAATTAGAAAAAAACGTAAATATATTTTGTTTCTATGACTTAGCAGAATCTGGATGCCAAGTTTGGATATCCTAGCTCTCCTTTCGTTCATACACACAGATGGGCAGGCGGACAAACGGACGGACATTTCTATATCGACTCGTCCTATCATGCTGATCAAGATGTGGGCCCGGCTTTTGGGTGCAGTGTAAAAACTGATGCCAGACCTTGTTTGCAGATAGAACAGTCTTCGCCTTTTTTCTTTTAGTCAATTGTTTTGACAGTCTTCGCCTTAGGTGTGAATTTAGGGACCCATGTTTGTTGCAGGATGATGAATTGGCACGCAAGCTCGTCTTCATTAATTTCTAGCATCCCCAACCACTGATTTAAACTCTGCCATCCATTATTTTACTGGTGTTTGCTAAGGAGCAGACTCCGCAAAATCTAGCTCGAATCTGGGCTTTGATATTGGTTGGACTGAGAACGTTCCCATTTTTCCTTCGATTACAAATTCAAAGAATGCGTTCACTAATGACGTCAGGTCGGGTACTTATGGGACTATACAAATGAATATATTTTTCATATTGAAGCCGGTTAATCAAACACTTGAATGTTTGTAGAAAAGTTCCCAAATTTACACAAATTTGGGTTGAAAGCCAAAGAGTTTATCTTGTACTTTTGCAAGTCGTCAATAATTATAATTTGAAATAAATTTGTGAATGGGATTGTAGTGTTATATAATACTTGTATGTATTATGAAAAGGAAAAGTGATGGAAATTTGCTGAGTGTCCATTGCCTTAGGGTGCGAATTAGTTTTATTGTGAACAAGTTGGAAGCCGCATACTATACATAAATCACAAATTTTAAGGAGCAACAATGTAAACAAATGCCAACTTGCCGTGTTTTTCAAATTAATTACCTAAATTAACATAAATTTGCAACAAATGTGCAATGTGGTCATAAATAAAAAATGCGGCAGCAAAAAAAAAAACAAAAAC